GCATAAAGCTTAAAATCTGCATGTATGGTAATTTGTAACAAATGTATGTACACCGACTGGAAAACAGGCACCAATCAGTTTCCCAGTGTGGGTATAATTAAATTAAACACACACACTTATTACTAGCATTGATCACTTGGTGAGCAATCCTGTGTACAAGAAGAAAGCCAGTGTAAATTAGGCTTCCATAAAGGTACAACAGATCCAAAGCCTGTTCAGCTGCTGCTCTACCTAAGCCTAGCAAAGGAAAACAAGCCTTTCTGTATTGTCCTGCATCAGGTTGTCAGGTTACATGATCACACTGAATGGACTTAGGACAGGCATAGGCAAACTCCGGCCCTCCAGATGTTTGGGACTACAATTCCCACCATCCCTGACCACTGGTCCTGTTAGCTAGGGATGATGGGAATTGTAGTCTCAAACATCTAGAGGGCCGGAGTTTGCCTGTGCCTGGCTTAGGATCTAGCCTAATCTTCCTGCTCTGGTCCTGCCCTTAGAATATCCCCCCGAACGCTGAGCCAGGATGAGTAAGTTATGCTGTCTTATCTTTGACTGAGCCAGGGTTGGGGGCAGTGTTAGACACTGAGATATGAAAGCTAGGAGCTAAATGGCACCTTAAACCTAGGTTATGGGTGCAACAATGGAATGCTTAGCTCTGCTTTTTTATAACAAGAATACAAAGGTGAAAATGAAAGAACTGCAGCTAAAATATTATGTTCGTTTTTCACATGGTCTAGTCCTTCTCCTGCCCACACCCCTAATATTCTTAGAAGGGTCCCTTCTCCAGTCTTCAGAGAGTAGCTGGAGGCGGGGAATCAGAAAAAGGGCCTCCTTTCCTTCCACTCCACAGTTTTAATCTGAAATTTTAGGTGCAGTACAGCACCCAAAGCTCAGAAACCTCTCGCACTAATGAAATTCCCTGTTGCAAAATGTGCCTAGAACAATGGGAGTTTCGAACACTGGTTGGGGGACCAAGAAAGAGGTTGCTAGGATCAGCAGTTCTATGAGAGCTCAAAAGGCATGACTAGCCACAAGCTAAGACGTTGAACCAACAAGTGACATAATCCCTATGCTTTCCTTCTGACGGATGGGATAGGCACAGCATTTAGTGCACCATGTGGCTGGGGTCCTGAGGCTGACTGCAAATGTGTGCTCCTTCTAGTGGGCTGGCTAGGTGAGGTTTTTGCATGCTGGTGCTGGCATCTCTGTGTCCTAGGTGACGGAGGTGAGATGCAAGCCAGATCAGCATTGGATTTACTCCCAGCTGCATCCTGTGAACAGGGAGACTCCTGTTTAACAGGCAGGTCCTTGGCTGAAGAAGCTAAGGGAGACGTCTCTGGGAGGGAGTTAATGGGAGGCCCTTCCGAGAGTTTGCCTGAGTCTTCTTTGGAGGGCAGATTTCCACCCGCTAACCCACTGGGACCCATAGCTGTCAACTTTCAGTTTTGAAAATAAGGGATCAGCAGCCTCGAAAATAAGGGATCAGCAGCATAGCTGTCAACTTTCGGATTTGAAAAGAAGGGATCAGCAGCCTCACCTGTCCCGGAGACAGTCTACGGGATATCTAACAATCCGGGATAGCAGCGGGAAGCAGCAAGAAACAGTGCTGAAATAAGGGAATTTCCCGCAAAAAAAAGGGAAGGTTGACAGCTATGCTGGGACCCTCTCCTGGATCTAGCATTTATTGGGGTTTGGAATCCATTACCCACATACCACTGGGACCCTTTTAACTCTCCAAGATCCTCCTACACCTTCTTAGGGTCTCACTCCCCCCCTCCAGGACACCTCCATGGCACTCAAGACAATATGCAAGTTTTGAGTTATGTGCTCAAACATGACAGTTTTGAAACTAGTAGATGCAGCTGAGTAGAATATATATGATACACTGCAGTATTTTCCTTTGAAGTGTTATAAAAATAGATGGCAAATTTTCTGCTCGTACATGATTAGAGTTTGAATTTAAGCCTGTACGTAATCATGTGGATTATAAATGAGTGCCAGTGAAATTTATAGTACTGTAATATATTTTGAAAGACTCCCTATTGTTTCAATATGTTGGGCTGTTTTCCATTCCATGTCATTTATGAAAGCCACATTGTTTCTTCCAGGAAAGCAGACAACACATCAACCCAGATTCTCAGAAGATTTGTATTTCATCATGTACTTTTAATTTAAATCAACTTTTTCACTTTTAAAATGGCATTCTCCAAATACTTTACTGTAGCACTAGTGAAGGTGGCTAGGTCGGGCGTAATGATCTGCAGTAGTGGTAACCCTAATGTTCCAAGTAATTTATGTGTGCATAAACAAATCACTCTTATGTTATTAGCCATACTGCAGTGACCTGGTTTGAATGTAATGCTAAACCAAACGATGACTTAGCATGAATGTATGAGCGTTTGAGTTCCCAGAGAGGAGGCTGTAGCTGCTTCATTCATTCTCTGGCCCTGCTGCTGCAGCGCTGCACAGAGCTAAGCCATGGAATGGCAGAGACTGCCATCTGAATCTGAGCTCATAGTTTGCTTCACTCCACACAAACCACGACCTGTAATTATGGTTTGTTCTATGGCTTATAGCTTGTGGTTTGTCTGGAGCAAACAAATGATGAATCTGGACTTGGATGACATTCGTAGAACCATAGAATTGTAGAGTTGGAAGGGACCCTGAGAGTCATCTAGTCCTTCCCACTGCAATGCAGGAATATGCAGATGACCCTTATGAGAATCAAACCCATGACATTGGCATTATCAGCACTACACTCTAACTACCCGAGTCCATCAAAATGTGCACACTGCAGCTACAGATTGTGAGACAAAATTTAAGTCATCCTACCTGCACAAAAGGCTCTTGGTTGGATATGACAACTCTCTGATGGACCTGCTCAGTTGAGTAACCTTGCCCTCCGAGTGGATAACCACTCTGTAGTTAGCCTGCGACCTCTTCCTGCACAGGGTGACACAAGCCATCAATGAGTTTGCAGTTGTTGATAGCAGCAAATGTTGCCTGTTCTACAGCAGGCTTTGGAGTGTTCAAATCAAGCCACATTAATATGTAATCTTTACAATGGCTCCGTAAAGTAGTTCAGCATCATCTCTGTGTTATATTTGATGACCTGAGGCTGAGTAAACAATGTTGTGTCTTGCCTAAGACCATGAGGTGCTTATTTCAGTCGTGGGTAGTATTTTGGTTTATGGCCAGTATTGTCCTGCATTAGAATGTTCTTTTATGGATTGTTCTCCATCTATTGAAACTTCTAGTGTGACTATCATTCCTAATCGTTGGCTGTGCTTCCTGGGGTTGATGGGAACTGTATCTAGTAACATCTGGAGGACATATATCACTAGGGATGTTTCATGTTAACCTTCAGATACTATAGATGAACAACAGGGATAAAGCATATGGTAAGGGTCTTTCTAGCACCCCCTCTTAGGTAGATGTGGTTTTGACAGCTACTCTCTGTGTGTGTGGCTAAACCAGCTTCAGAGTGAATCAGAGTCTGAGCAGCCCCACTCAGAACCACCAGGCTTGCTCTTGTTAAGCAATACCTCAAGCAGATACTGCAATTACTGTTCATATCTGACAGCTCAACTTGATTTTTTTGGTCTTATAACTTCAAAAACACATCAGCAACAATATTAGTATGAGTCATCCCTAATGAAAATATGATCAGTTGCATGAACATTTTTTATTAGGAATCAATCAAGAGCACATACCTAATGCCACTGTCTGCTAAAAGCGATTTGACATTGTTTCATAGTGACTTGGCACAATAGAGAATTTAAGACGGTAAGTGAGAAACAGCAATAATATGAGGCACATCCACAAACCTTTCCATCCACTTTTCAAGTATTGCTAAAGACTGTGGATTCATGGAAGTCACTTAACAAATTGAGGGTTACAGTTATGATTGCAGATAAATGCATAGTCAGTTTTAACTCAGTTGCATGATTGAAGTAGAAGTGCTCTGCTGACTGTGCAAAAGACGGTTTTGATACCAAGCTGTCACTGCTGAGCACATTAATATTCTCTTAGTGCTTCATTTCAATCTGGCAACTCCGGAATCAGGACAGCAAAGATGAGATTAATGGCTAGACTTGGAGACTTTGTGCAATGTTGATGCACATTGCCTATATTATCTCTGTGCTGTTGTGTAACCTTGTTCTTGATCAAAATGATAGTAATGATTTTATGCCTTAGCCACATGTCTTTATGTTTGACAAGCTCAGGGCTGCTATATACATAAAGGTTTTAATCTGTATTACAAATCTAAACCCTCTAATATCCTCTGTGTTCAGAATTTAGTTTTCCATTTGTCTCAATAGATTTAAATTAATTAAACTTTATTCCCTATGATCAGTTAAGCCATAGTATGTAAGTGCTCACAGATAGAGCCTATTGCACAGCACCAACAATCTCTAAACAGATTAGTAAAATAAGTGCTGTGGGAACAGCCATTTCCAAATTAGGTAATAGAATACTAGAATTGTAGACTTGGAAGGGATCCGAGGGTCAATCTAGTCCAACCCCCTGCAATGCAAGAATCTTAGCTAGATCATACATGACAGATGGCCATCCAACCTCTGCTTAAAAACCTCCAAGGGACCCATTGAGCTGGTCTACCCTAGGAGATTTAAAGGAATTCTGGATGCTCTGGGTGAACATTCCAGTTGCCATGACTTCTGCTTCTATGGAGGCTCTGGTCTTGCTTTAGAATTGTGAGATGGCAAGAGTTACCAACATAATCACTCCCTAGTGTTTTGGCTTGCGGGAGTAGTTAGGTTTGGGAATTGGTTTTCGGCATGGACAATACTTCGCTACATTGCTGCTGATTTTCCTTTTGAATCATTCATGCTCTCAATGAAATGAATAAAAACTACTCTGGCATTTATTTTTGCTGTCCACGCTTGACCAGTCTGTATTTGGAAAGGCATCCCAAAGTTTTTGTAGCATAAGAGTTCTAACAATGTCCTTTTTTTTTTTTTGTCTCTGTCCTTCAATAGGATGATGAAGTGGTTCTGCAGTGCACTGCTACTGCTCACAAAGAACAACAGAAATTGTGCCTTGCCGCAGAAGGATTTGGCAACAGGCTCTGCTTCTTGGAATCCACTTCAAATTCTAAGGTACCGTAAACTGTCTTGTTCTAATGCAGTGTTGAACATTACTGACATAACAGATCTTTTCTTCTTGTTGAAATGTTGTCCTCTGTGATGCAGAGTAAGTGTTACAGCAGGCAGAGTTGAGTTGCATTCCAGCACATTATGTTTTTCTTATATGATTCACAGCATATTATACCCAACAAAATAAACTTGATGTTAATATACATAATGACAAGCTAAATCCTGAACAACTATTATCATATAGAAACCTTTGAGAAAGGCTGTGTGGTCTTCTTCTCCTTCACCCTGCAGCCCCTCCCCACTTCTCCAAAATCTACTCTGGACTCTCCAGAGCTAATTTTGAGGATGGAGGGGCTGTAGCTGGACGTTTGCTCGTGTTATGTTGATTTCAGCCCATGTATTACAGATTGCGTGTGTATTGCTGTCTTATTGATGGACATGTGGAAAAAATACATCAATTAGTTTAATTTCCTTTTTTGGGAGAATGCTAATTTAAATTTTCTAGTTCAAGGTGTTCAGTGTGGAGAGTGAGATTAAATAAATAACATCTTATCCAAGTGATATTTGTCCTCTTCAAGTTTCATAGCATATTAACAGCTAATATGACAGCCATTGCCTGTCAGTTGGTACTAGTGTACTGATCAAATATCATTCTTCCTAAGTTTTGTGGGATTCATGATGCTTTGCTGTGTGTAGGTCTGCAGACTGCAGGTACTTTTATATTGTAACCTGCCCTGTGATCCTTGGATGAAGGGTGGTATAGAATTGCAATAAATAAGAGCAATAAGAACAATAAATACTTGTACCATGTCATGTGGAGCACAGGAAGCAAAGCATCATGGAGATTTGTATGTCTTTAAATTGTCTGCAGAATCCTTTTCTGGCTATTGTCAATCTCATTGGTGCTGACGTTACCCTCCAATCTTCACAAGCTGTACTTGAAGCAAGTGCCCCTACAACAGGGTCCCTATCCCCATGCTCTTGAGACAGTCGTAGGCAGAGACTTATCAGAAATCACCTTTCCTCACATGGCTATCTTCATAATCTGTGCTATCAAATGGGAGTCTGCCAGTCAAAGATTTTTGAAGAAAAACATTTTGCACCTAAAATGTTTTGGGCTCCGCTATAGCAGGGCTGTCCATCTTCCAAGAGACTACGATCTACAACCACTATAAAAAGACTGGCAGTGATCTACCCATTGGATTGACCAGAGTTGTTGAGCTATTTTTGGGAAAGCTTCATCAAAGTTGTTGAGCTTTTCTTAAGGAAGCCATTGGCAGGGGCATCCTGTGCATTGATCAGTAGATCGTGATCGACCTCTTGGACAGCCCTGCATTATAGGAATCAGGTGAGGCAAATAAAGGATTCAGTGAATTCTGACAATTTAATTTGTTAAAAGGAAGTAAGCAGCAGTAGTTATCTGTGGGCTGTGTTCATTATTTATTTAGTTTTGAATAAATTTTTTAAATTTTGGCAAGTAAAGGAAATATACTAAAATAATCTTGCATATAAGGCCTTTATTATTTTTTTCTGCCTACAGATTCCTTCAGCACAACCTTAATTAAATTTATTATCTCCACTGTGGTGCAGACTAATGTTTTACTTTCAGTCAGTCATCATTTTGAATGTATTATTCATCGTTATAAAAAATAATTGGAATATTAATGATTCATTATAATAGCAGTGGTTCTGAGGATTTCATCTGTCCTGCTCACTTGTAACTGAATAATTCCCAGTAATAAAATATGTAAGGATAGGTAACTTCAGGATTCTATAGTTTTATAAAATATTATTTAGCAAATAAATTTTAATTAAACAGCAAATGTATCCTCCCCAGTACTTCACTGTTGGTCCATAAGTAAGATGTCCATGTAATCATATTGCCATTTCTTTTTCTTTAGTTGGTTTCTTTTAAAAGACTTAAGAATAGCAGGTGCTTCTCAGGCATCTAGAAAACTAAGATGCATTTAGTAAAAAATTAATATAGGAAAGAACAGGTGACAGATTCTGAACTTCTAAGTTCATAAGTACAACATAAAGTGGAGACATTATGGGTTTTTTCTGCCAATAATTTACAGCTCTTTCCAGTATGTCTGGCTTTAGCCCTCAGTGGTGGGATCATCCCAGTAGAAAGGGAAAGCATAAGAAAAAGGGAAGGTTGAAGAAAGAGCAGTCCTTTTAAAGCATGTATAAGGGGTCTCACTGAGAGAAAAGGAAGTGAAAAGAAACAGTGACAATGGAGTTAAAACAAAAAGATGGGTAGGGTAAAAATGGAGAAGATGATTGTGAAGAAGAGTGCATGGAAACTGCTTTATTACGTAAGTCAGATGCAAAAACTAAAGGAGCTAAAGGACAAGCACAATGAGGATAGGAGCTAGGACTTTATAAAAGAAATGACAAGGGGAAGGAAACTGGGTAGATATCAACCCAAGACAAGCAATACTGTTTTATCCGAAGAAAAAAGCAGAAGATGAGAATACTTTTTTTGTGAAGGGAATGCTTCATTGCTTGTATGGAGACTTGCTGCTGTTCATGCTTCACAAGTCGCAGTGGTTTCATAGTCACTGCACTACTGGAGAAATAATCTTGCAGAGTGAGCAACTGGGGCAGGTGAGCAGTAAATCTTGGGCTTTAATTTGGGTTGAGTCATGTAAACTGCAGCTGGCACACACGGCGACTGATGGACTCTGGACCTGGGACTCGTAAAGAAAAAGTGTTTTAAATGCATTGTATATGCAGTATAACACTGTGACACCAGATGGTTCTGTGGAGTCCTGTCTTTCCTAACCGGATTTCCTTGTATGAGTTTACAACGTGTTGAACTGAAACACTTCTTTGATGTGTCTAGATCCAGCCCTGGTAAGACATCTTAGGGCCTGAGGATATCATGTGTGTGGGGACAACTTCTCCATCCTCCTCCCTTGCAACAATATTGTGGACACTGAGGTATTGCAGTTGTACAAATACTTAGCACCTAATTAAACCAAGAAGTACTTACAATTGCCTCTCTGGCGGGTGGAGTATGGCTTCCACATGTTGTGGTTCTCTCCCTCATTCTCCCCCCCCCAACAAAGAACATTGCTGCTTAACATTGTAGTTGTGCAAATACTTAAACATATAACCACTTGACCTTAACCTTAAACATATAAGCACTTATTATATGGGCTGGTGTGGTACAATAACCACATATAGAAGTAAGCCCTAGGTAAAGGTAAAGGTATCCCTGACCATTAGGTCCAGTCGTGGCCGACTCTGGGGTTGTGGCGCTCATCTCGCTTTATTTGCTGAGGGAGCCGGCGTACAGCTTCCAGGTCATGTGGCCAGCATGACTAAGCTGCTTCTGGCGAACCAGAGCAGCGCATGAAAACGCCGTTTCACTTCCCGCTGGTGTGGTACCTATTTATCTACTTGTACTTTGACATGCTTTTAACTGCTAGGTTGGCAGGAGCAGGGACCGAGCAACGGGAACTCACCCCGTTGTGGGGATTCGAACCACTGACCTTCTGATCGGCAAGTCCTAGGCTCTGTGGTTTAACCCACAGCACCACCCGTGTCCCATGTGTACAGGATTGCAGCCTTAGTCTTAAAAGGTTCTACACAGGGCTGCTAACAAGGGCTTCCATGCATTTGGGAGTCATTCCCCCTCCTCCAGCTTATTCATTTTTTACTTTCCAGTAAGTGGAATAAGGTTGAGGGATATATAGACTAGGACCTGAAAGACCAGGGTTAAAATTACTCTGTCATGAAGCTCATTGTGTGACCTTGGGTCAATCACTGGGCAGGATTCAGCTGTGGGTCTTTCCCCCTCTCTTTGCCCCACCTCCTTCCATGCCCCTGAAATTGGTTTAGGGGGCTTCGGAGAAACCCTGGAAAATAGACAAGGGAGAGGTAGGGCTTGTTCTATTTGCAAGCCAAAATACTTGCACTGATGCAACAATCAGAAGAGCGCAACATTGAATTCCTCCCACTGACTCTCAGTCTAACTGGTGCCACAGGGTTGTTGGGTGGTTACCGGGGGGGGGGGGGGGGCAGAGAGAACCATGAGTGCTACTTTGAGCTCCTTGGAGGAAAAGAGATAAGATATTAAAGGTAAATGTAAAGGTACCCCTGCCCATACGGGCCAGTCTTGACAGACTCTAGGGTTGTGTGCCCATCTCACTCAAGAGGCCAGGGGCCAGCGCTGTCCGGAGACACTTCCGGGTCACGTGGCCAGCGTGACAAGCTGCATCTGGCGAGCCAGAGCTGCACACGGAAACGCCGTTTACCTTCCCGCTAGTAAGCGGTCCCTATTTATCTACTTGCACCCGGGGGTGCTTTCGAACTGCTAGGTTGGCAGGCGCTAGGACCGAACAACGGGAGCGCACCCCGCCGCGGGGATTCGAACCGCCGACCTTTCGATCGGCAAGCCCTAGGCGCTGAGGCTTTTACCCACAGCGCTACCCGCGTCCCAAAAAATTATATAATTTGATATTATATAAGATCAAATACAATAAATAAAACAAATACAATTTTTCTGCAGCTATTCAGAATAAAAATAGCATTACAGTCAAGATCTATACAGTTTTCATAATCCAGCATGAAATACATTAAACATTAGATCCCCTTGGGAGTTTTTCTTTAAAGTTTTTGTGTGGTGTCAAAAACAAGATAAAAGATAGCAGTGACTTACCACCAGAGCTGGCCTATTTTTGCATTAGATGATAAACACGACCATAATATCCTTCAGGCTGTTGTGTGTGTATATATGCAATTGCAGCTTCCTTAAACTACTTCAGATTACTCAATTGCCTATAATAGCTCATTTGGGCTGTTTATCATTTAGCTGATTGAAGCTTCTGTACTCGGTGCAATGATCCTTTTCAAGTGTGAAGCACTCAGTATCACAAACAGAATCAGTGAAACATTTAGAAACAATTTGTCTATAGTTAAGAAAATACTTTATTCCTAGAGGCTCTGGTTTACGTTGGAGGAAAGGAGTTAAATTAAATTTATTATAAGAACAATAATGGCTGTTTATTCAAATCCTCCCAGAGATAAAGGAGTGTGTCCTAAATAAATGAACTGGTTTCCCCCAGTGTTTTATAGTTGATACTATTTTAACTGTTCCATCAATAAATAAAATACTGTGATAGCAAAATGTAAAAGCACAAAAGCAGATAATAATATTTGTTAAAAGCTTTATGAATCTAAATTGTGAATCTAACTGCAAGTCCAAGAAAAACAAGGAGCTGCAGTTAGGAGAAGGAGAGGTGTGGGTATGTTAGGAAAATGCATTTAGCAGCACAAGCAGAGAACAGTGAAGTCATGCAGTCATGGTTGCTGGCTTCTTTATAATATGTACATTATTATGCAAAGTAGTGTGAATATTATTTGCTGTTCAGTGGGAGGCTGATTTTTACTATTACTTTAAAACTGCAACTGTTAGATAAATATGTTGCATATCCTATAAAAGAAATATCAAATCATTTTAAGTAAAAAAAACACCCCAACAGACTGGTAAGGAGCATAAAGATGTTCCATTATAAAAACCATTCTGGGTTGCTGTCACTTATGTGACAAGTAAATTTCAGCACCTAGTTTTGATTTTAAAAAGATAGCTAAATTTCCATATCTTTGGGTTTTGGAAAATGAGTAACTGAATGGTGAGTGCATGGACAGAAGAAATTTCTCTCTCTGTTCTATATAGCAGAAGGAAATATATCAGATCCCTTTCTGAACCAGATTTAAATAAAGCAAAATGCTTCTCAAAAGCAAAACTTTACGGCAGAAGTGTTGGGTTGATTGCGTACTGATTATGGTTTTGGATTCTTGCATGTGAATGTTTGGTTCTAGGTAATCTTGGTTCTTAGGCTTTGTATACTGTAGTGGAACATTAAGCCACTGCAATTTTTGAGGTATAATTTTATGGTGCACACACACACAGACTTACACTAATTAACTGGAATCTTAAAAATAGGCAAAGCTAACAATATAACACAATGAAGATTGTGCAGACAGTTGTTAGGTTAGCAGTTCTATTGGCTTTTAAGAGTTGCTTCCTTCACTGATCTATTTAATCAAAGTAATGCATTATACACGTGTCTGTTTGATGGCCAGATGCATGTTAGTCAGAAAATGTGATTTATCATGCTTATATATGATTTGTAAATTGATATATATATATAAATAGAGGTGTGTGTGTCTGTGTGAATGTGAATGTGAGTGAATTCACTTCTACTTTATTCCTCTGTAATTTTTACGCCACAGAAGATTTGTTCCCTTTGTCCTGAATAAGTTCCTCTGCTCTCACTCTTGATATCTTTATCCTATGTCAATCTTCACTTATCACAATTAGGCATGTGATCCTATTGTCCTTCATAATTTCACGCTTGAGTTATTTGAGACCTCTCACTCAGGTTGATGCCATTTTGCTCCCAGGACCTTCAGCTACATTACCCTATGTCATTAATGTCAATGTGCACTGTGACTATTGACCCCACCCCAGCACTATCTCCTAGGCTATCTAGATGAGGGGCAACACTTGCAACCATCATGCTAGGCAGGAAATTCCCCTCGTGTATGCACATTGGAGCTGTCATCCTGTGAGTGGGATACAGCTCTAACATCCCTGAAGACCTCATCCACAAACCTCTCTTCCTCTCTCAGGTTTTCCAAGTCAGCCACCTTGGCTTCAAGGAAATGAAATTGTTTGTGGAGATCCAAGAGCTCATTGCACTGAAGACACAACCACAAGTTCTGCCTGGCAGCCAGATAGTTGTACATGTGACAGATTGCGCAATACACTGGAAAGCTCCCATGTGTCTTCTGACTTTCTGTCTGCATAACTGTTTTTGTAGTTTATTGAGTTACTTTATTGGAAGCTTGGGTTTTGTTTAGATCAAGGAAAGGAGGAGCAGAGCAGTGTACCCTGGACTTTTTGCCCTGATGCCAAACTCATTTGGCTGTTTAACTTGCCTTGACACTTTGTTAGCCGGGGCAGAAACACTTCATAAGCTGGTGCTGTCTGTTTCTAGTCTTCTCGTGGCTGTGCGAGAAGAGGTGAGGAGAGAGAGCATGCAAACCTGAGACTCACAAAAGCTTGTTCCCGTAATTATAAACTATGGTATAACATATATCCAAACATAGCCAGTGAGTGCTAGACATCAAATAATAGTGGGAGCACTGCTGTAAACTGAAAATCATTATATTTTACTTTGCAACTCTGCTGTCAAATGCAGTCACGACTTCTCCTGCCCGTAGAATTTTATCTCAAATAATGTTACAGTATAATCCTGATTGTGATTGACAATCTGTTACTCTCTTGAATAGCAAAGTTCTGGTGGCTGGTTTCTTTGCTACTTGGTAGGGACTCTTTTTTTCTACATGTATACATGCATTCCTACTAGTAAGGTCGCCACCATCCCATCTTTACCCAGATTCATTTAATTAATGTGAATTTCCTAGAATAGCTTATTTGAGTAAATTAGTTTTCATGTGCTCCCCCTGCCTTTCTTCAGATGGCTCTTTGGGTTAATTAAGGCTGCAATCCTAAACACATTTACTAGACTCTAGAGGGTAAGTCTCATTGAATTTAGAGGAAATTATTTTTCTGTTAACACACTTAGGATTGCCCTGTAAGTAAGGAATGATCTGTCAACAACTAAATAATCAGTGCTTCACTGAATGCTGTCTTCATCATGTTTTTTCAACTAGAATGTTCCTCCGGATCTCTCCATTTGCACTTTTGTGCTGGAACAGTCCTTGTCCGTGCGAGCCCTTCAGGAAATGCTGGCCAACACTGAGGAGAAAGCAGAAGGGGTGAGCAGCAATGTCTTCGCCTTTTAATTAATTTGTAATTGCTTTTGGATTCTATTAAGTGTCTTGTTATCCTTGATGCTTTTTATTAACACCTCAGCTTTTGGAATCCTATTACACTCCTTATTTTATTGAAGTTTACATTCTCAGAAAACTTGAATGACCAAAAGCCATGGAAAACTTAAAACCAAACATGAAAATGTTTTCCCCCAGCTGTCATTATCCTTGCAAACCAGAAAAAATGTATGAATATTTTGTTTTCATAATACTTTCCACATGACCATTACAAAATATGGAGTATATATCAGTCTTGGAAACCAGACAGGCATATACTTATATAATTTGAGTGCTTTATGCCTAGTTTTAATCATGTATTTATCAGTTTCTAATGAATATTGATCTTTAGTCTTCTCATTTTGTATTTTATATATGTTATATAATCAATATGGTGTTTGTATCTAGAAGTATATATAACTTTATTTTATTTTTAAAAAAATACACATTAGTTAGTGTATTATACAAAATATAGTCTGATTTTCCTGTACCGCATAATGATGGTATTAAACTACTTTTTAAATAATGTTTTACATATATTCTTTCACAATAATAAAGCTAGCTGGTGCTTGATAGATTTCTGCTTTTGCCTTTCTTCCTTTCTATTTCATTTTCTTCGGTTTCAAGAAGAAATAACCTGCTTCTGAAACAAGAATTGCATCATTCAAACTTACCCTCTTGTACAGATGTCTGATTAATTTCTGCAGTTCAGTTCTTGCAGTGTCACAACTACCTTGAATTCCTGGTAACATTGTTTAGGAGTCCCCAATAAATAAATAAGCACTTTATTGAACCTGGCTATAAATGAAAACCAATTAGGAGATGCTAGGTAAGATTAAAAGCAGTAGGAAGGAAATACAGTGGTACCTCAGGTTACAGATGCTTCAGGTTACAGACTCCGCTAACCCAGAAATAGTACCTCGGGTTAAGAACCTTGCTTCAGGATGAGAACAGAAATTGTGCAGCAGTGCAGTGGCAGCAGGAGGCCCCATTAGCTAAAGTAGTGCTTCAGGTTACGAACAGTTTCAGGTTAAGAACAAACCTCCAGAATGAATTAAGTTCTTAACCCGAGGTACCACTGTATGTGCCTATAGGAACAGTTCATAGTTGAAATAGGTAGAATTGTTTAGAATCGTTTATAAATAAAATCTAACTTGTTGTCAATGTTCCTTACTTGCCTTGAAATCAATTAAATCAAACTGTGTGGGCAAAGCTTTGGTGAACAGCTGACCCAAAGCTTCACAATCAGCTATGGGTCTTGTGGAGCTCTGTGTCATGGGGATTTCGAAGCTGCTCTAGCCTCCTAACTAATCTGATATTTACCTTGAGCTGTCCAGGGTGCTACTTTGCTTGCCTGAATTTGCCTTATCTTAGTGGTGGAGAACCACAGTTCTGAGGTGCAAATGCTGTCAATCTGAACCTTGGGACTTTGCTCAGGTCATACTTGATCCTATACCTTCTTCACATACCCCTTGAGTGTTTTTGCTTGGCTAGAATGTGCCGTCGAACCCTAATAATGCTTCTTGTTTGCCTGAATGGAAGAGAGAGAGGTGTGTGTATGTACAAAACCAGCAAAGACAAAGGTAAAAGGACGTGCTTGATATGAACTGTGCCATTCTGGAATCTTCTTGTAGTTATTTGAAGAAGGATGCTTATATATTTGAGGATCCTGTTTTGAATGTTTCTCCCTCTCACTGCCAATAGGAGTGCCCAACTTTTAGGACTGCACATGGCAAACTTCAGTGATATCCCAAATTGTAATAACTCAGTATCTGTTAAAACTGATCTAAAAGCTGGATTGAGAACAAAGATCACAAGTGCCTCAATAAAATAAAAAATAAAATAAAATAAAATAAAATAAAATAAAATCCCTCCGGGAAAATTAACAAAAGTATGAAAGAGCTAAGATTCTGATGCTTGGAGGACTTCATGGTGAAAGTCAGAGAGCCTATTACAGGATGAGAATATGTGTCTAGTTTCACTAGGCACTTTGCTATGGGGCTAATTAAATATGACCTCCCCACATTGCTACCCCATTTGCAGGCAGCACATGTTTGGGGGAGGGGATTAAAAAATTTCAGGAAGATTTTGTTATTTTACCATTGGTGGCTTATTTGTTCATTGTTCAATTTTTTTTAAAAAAAATATAATTGCAGATTTTGAGATGCAGTTATAGAAGAGCAAGTTGTCAGTCTGTTTTTACTATGATGTCCAGGTTACTACAGTGTCTTGGGTGTCTTTGTGTAGCATGCTCAGAGCTCGTCCCTGTGTTCTAATACTAATTGTGATAAAAGATAGATTTCCTCAGCTGCAGCAGAAGCAAATGGGAATGTTACCTCTTTAAAGTCCTGCGCTTGATCTGTCTCACGTGAACTACCACATGACAGCAACTGCATCATCTCATCTTTCTTTAAACTAATATTTTGGAGTATAAACAGTTTCTGTTTAATATCTTATAACCAAAATGTAATCAGAAAAGATTTGTATGATGGATTGGCTATAAACCCTGTCATACTTAATTATATAAATCTGTTCTTCTGTGATTTGTTCCAGAATCTTGTGCTTAGCATGTTGCTTGCATATCCAACCGTCTGGCCTTGTTTAGATCAAAGCTGACATAAAGCACTAAAATACACTGCACACATCTGTAGAAGCATCCTTTAGTTAATATAAAGGATAAAATGCAAATGGCTTATGTGCACAATCCGTGAAGACACTTTCCTTTTCAAATCTATCATAACGAATACTATTAATTAGAGTGAGCATGAAACCATGTCCTTGTCCAATTTCCTGCTGGAAGCTTTGTCTCCTCTTCACCCACCCCATATTTAGGGTTTATTAGTACACTGAATATTGTCCCTTGTCTTGTTTCCTCAATCCCCACCTTTGTTTTTTGTGGTTCAGCCACTATCCTGTAAGAAGTGCCAGTTTTTCAGGAGAGGAAGAGTTATAATGGAAGGAGCTGAATGAAGGAAATAATATATGATGCTTAAAGTTTTGGAAAATAAGCTGTAGGGTGACAAGAACTTTTTCTGTGCCTCATATGTGGGATATGATGCTGAAAAAGTATGTGCAGCTTTCTGAGTTTTTAGGATAAAGCAATTTTGTAAGCAAAATATAGGCTCTATCTTAATATGCCTGGATCTGAACTTTGATTATAAATGGAAAGATAAATTTCATGCCTCTATTACAGAAAATAAAACCTCAGGCTATGTAAACAGATATACATCTTTCAGTTGCAATATAAAATTTGCTGCCAGACTTGGTTTTACACCTGAGATTGCATCTGTAATAGATAATAGGAAATGAATAAAAAAAGTGAAAATATATAAACCTGATATGTATACACATGAAATATTTACTCTAGGGGTGGGAAAATCAAGTTCTATGAAGTACAATTCTGTTTCTTAATGAAGTTTCTTAATGGGGAAGGGGTGACACCTGTACCCAAGCACCCTTGGAAAAGGCAGGTACACCCTGCCCCCTGTGTAGCTATCGTCCCAGCAGTGTTATGGACTATGGGAAGGCTATTTTAGGATGCAGCTTCTAGGGCATATGCACTGCTCGGATCTGGAATGCTACTTTGTTGTGCCTCCTTGTCAAAATTAAACTGCTGTGAAAGTGTACTGAGCATTACCTGTTGGAGGCTAGAGCAGCCCTTTGAGAGCAAGATTACTACACAAGCCATGCAAAAATGATTGCAAAGCCAAAATATAATTGTTCTATCAGGGCAGTTTAGATAGATGAATTGAACGTTGAGGCATTTGTATACTGTGGCATCTGAGAGGAATGATACAGTGCATGTCTGAATAAAGAATTGAGGGGTGTGTGTAGAAACCTTTTGACTTTTGCATGGCTGGAATGTAGCCTACTGTTAACTCTGTGCACATTTGTCTCTGGCCCTGCCCACCACTGATAATGCAGCCCCCTCACGAGGGAATGCAGACCTCAGGTTGAAAAATATCACTGTTCCTGCTATATACTGCCCAAACTACATTCAGAGTCTCATTTCTGTGTGGATTTCCTTTGGCCTCTTGAATGCAAACTTTATTGTGAGAAGAAAAATTGGGCGCATGTGTGGGCGAAAGTACTTTAAGTACCGCTAATTTTTTAAAAATAGGAATTTTGAGTTCAGTTTAGTGTGTACAGTTTAGAAGATATTTCTTACTGCTGAAACAGATTTGCAGAACTGCAATGGAGTGGCAGCTAATGATTGCAGCTAATAATGAAGTCTGAACCCTAAGTGGATCCAACTTTTGCAGAAAGAGTTTTGACTAAAACTTAACAACAACAACAACAACAACAACAACAACAACAACAACAACAACGCAACAAGACACAGCCTGGACTGATATTATGTTTATACTGTATTACCAATTACTGACCAAACCAGTCTGCTTAGTGATGATACTGATGCAAAAATGTCTTCTTAATGTTTTGCTGGATTTTTTTTATTGAATTTTGAAATCATGTCTTGACTTTTTTGCTTGTGATTTTTTGCTTGTGATTTGTAGGAAGCTCTTAGAGATTTTGTTATATTAATCAGCATGTAAATTATTCAAATAAAAGAATGAAAAAGAACATGCATTTAATTTCAGTACAAATAATATATGGCTATTGGGCAGCATTAAACTAATGAGGCCTGTGAGTGGAAGGACTTCTGCTTCTGTACTGGGGCTTTGCCCCCATTCCTGCCCTCAACCTGCCTTTGGAGGGATTGGGAGAACCCGCCGGAACAGAGTGCGGAGGAGGAAGGGTGATCATCCTGCTTGGCAAGTCAAAATATTTGCCCTGACAGAATGATCATCTCAGTGCAATGTTTAATTCCCCCCACAAGCATTTGTGAGAAATGGGTTTGGAAACCATGCCCTTATTCTTATTAATCGTATTTCTATCAAAATGTGAGTGCTAAATTGCAAAATACCATATTTAGTAAGGAACTCATTTTTGTTTTGTTTTGTTTTTTCTCCCTACAGCTAGTTGATGTGGAAAAATGGGTATGTGCTTGACTCTCTTGACCCAAAATAATCCTTTGTCTATCACAGAGTCTAAATTGTCTGTTTTTTGTATTCTGTCTGTACCACAACACTAATTTGCTTAGCTCAAAACAATTTTTTAAAAACTTCTTTAATAATGATAGCTGAGACTGTTGAGTTCTTGAAATAGTTCCCAAACTTCTTAAAATACGATTAATAAAATACATTCTAATTCATCCTTGTTTAGTAAAAAAATTTTTTAAAAGGGATTATCCCTTGTAGTTTTGAGCCTTGCAATTTCATCCTGTAAATGTATGTCCTTTAAATCTGTCATTATTTGTGACATTTGTCTGAACATGTCTTAAGTGAATAATGCATGTGAAGACCATAATTTTTCCTCTGTTTTATAACTGATATATTTTATTTATAAAATAGTGTGTATTAAGCTTTTCAAGGTAATGAACAGATGTCAGAGAATTTATAGAAAACAAATCACTACATATATCTTGCCCAATCTCATTTTAGTCTTCTAATTCTGAATTAAATCTGTGCATTTATATGTAATGAATTTCTGTGAGGTATTGGGATTGGAAACCTTTGACAATATGTCTTCCATTTGTGTGTGTTAATATAGTATTTGTATGTAGAAATCTAGGCATGCAAGTAATGTATTTTCTGTGTATAGAATCTCTTGAGCATGTCTAACTTTATTTTGTATAGTGAGATGTTGGCACTCAAAGTCTATTTGCATTATTCCAGAGGTATCTACTTTTGAAAAGTCTATGTTTGCATGTCTACATGATTCTAATTTTTATTTGCTAATTGTGTGGATTGCTGTGTCTTTAGTTTCTTCCCTCAAATTACTTTCATTGTCTTCTCTATAATGAGTTATAAACCCATATTTTAAAAATAAATGCATTAGTATAATATGATTTTACAAGAATTCAAGAAAGAATTATACTATATTTCTCACATTTCAGCACCTTAGCTGTGGCTTTGCCAGCCGTATGGTAAAAATGTCCCCCCAAATATTTGTATCCCTTTTCAGAAACTTGAGTAACTAAAAATTAAACTGTCCTAAGTCATGGACTAGCAAAATAAGGATCACACTGTAATCCAACCCAGAAAACTTGTTTACTACACAGTGTAAATTAGGTAGCAGAAGTATTGATTTTCATTTAGAAACCTAGGGTTGTATCCAGTGCTAGGTCTAATAAAAATAGACCCGCTGATGATAATAGACATGACTAACTTAGGTTCATCAATTTAAATGGGTCCACTCTCAATGGGACTAAGTTAGACAGAACCCTAATGTTTCTTAGTGGTATTAACTTCTCTTTGGAAAAGGACTATATTATGATTTCTAATATTATTGTATTTTATGACTATTGTGTACATTAATTCAGTGAATATTAAATTAACACAATGATGGGTATTTCTTTGAAATGTTTCCATATGCTTGAGATTTGCTTGAGATTTGAGCAGTCTACAATTACATTGTTCAACAATATTGAAATGAAAAACTGTGTTTTCTAGGTACTGTAAACATATAGAATTAGAACAGCAAATTACATACTGTCTCTGCACCCTCTTACCCCTAACATTTCTCATTTCATATTTACATCTAATTTAGGATGACTGCCCTTAATAATCTTGCTAAAACTTTAGCATTGGCAGGTCCAAATGAGAGAGTGCCAAGTGTAGAGCAAAATACATATGCAGGTCTCCCAACCAGTGTTTTGTGCTGTTTACATCTCATCTGGTTATCAAGGGAGCAAGCAGTGTAACAAATCAGTGCCTTCTGCCAGCTGTAGCATCCATAACATAAGGTGGCCACATGTATTGTTAGGCTTTACTACAGACAGGTGGGAGATGTAAAACATACGGAAGCATCTACATAAGCCGTATTCCATATTTTTCTGGAGTTGTTATGGAGCATGTGATTCTTTGAGTAGTTTAATGGATTTTCCAAGTTCCTTCATTTTGTTCCTGGAGCAGGCCTTGTGTTGATGTATGTAGGTGTCATTTAGTTTAGTTCACCTGTGACAGAACTGGCTTGGGGAGTGGAGAAAAAATAGATTATTTTCCTTGTGGCAGGTCCAATGGCAGTTGTGTCAAACTTTATGCTACAATTAGTTCAGGTCTGTTAGAGGTTCCTGAAGCATCATCTAGTAATGGCCTGTGGAATAAGTTCACATTGTTGCAGCCTGAGGATATAGACATGGCCTTTGTAGCAGTGAGGCTAATTTGTGTCCTTTAGATCTGTGCCCTTCATGGCTGATAAAATCTAGGATGAAGATGGGTACAGGGATGGTTAATGCTTCACTACACAAGGAAGTTACACTAGCTGCCTTGAAAGAATTGCAGCCACTCTTAAATATGTCTTCCCTGGATCCAGAAATTTTTAGAAAATAACAGTCCAATCTCTGTTATTCCCTTTTTGCACAAGGTAATCAAGACAATGGTAGCTAATCAGCTGCAGGTGTGCCGGAGGAAGCAGCCTATCTAGACTAAGGTTACCAGACGTCCCCGTTTCCCGGGGACAGTCTCCGGATTTACAGATCAGTCCCCTGACCAAATCCATCCCCTTCAACTGAAGTTGAAAAGTGTCCCCGGATTCATTGAAAAAAATCTGGTAACTTTAATCTAGACTTGTTTCAGGCTAGGTTTTAGTAGCGAAAAAGCCCTGATAACTTTGATCAAGAAACAGGCATAGTGTGACCCTGTTGGTTCTCCTTGAACTCCCAATGGCTTTTGACACCATACTGTGGTGTCCATCTGGAACAACTCTGTGGAGTTGGAGTTGGAGGTGCTGTGTTATGCTGACTTTACTCTTATCAGCAGGGTAATTACTAGGGCACCATTACTAGGAAAGTTTTACTTGGTCCTGTAGCTTTTGGGCTGTGGGGGTCCCACAAATGTTCATTCTGTCTCCACCTCCCTCATTATTAACTTAAAGAAGGAATTTTAAAACATACCTGTTTGTCCAGGAACTTGATGGCTGAAAGATACTGTTCCAATCAACCTTGAAATTAAAAGATATGTGCGTATGTGGCTGTTTTAAAATGTATTTTTTAATTATATTGCTTTTTCAGTTGATAGCTGCCCTGGACTCCTTAGGGAGTTCTAACTCCTTTGAGTTACAAATTTAATAAATAGTAAAAATAATTAGAAGCACTTGAACTAGAGATTTTTTTATTTTTAAGAAACCTCTATGAATACCAAAAATGAAGGGGCCAAGTGTAAATCCTTTGGGAGGGAGTTCCACAGACTGTGGGTCACTACTGAAAAGGCCTTATGCCTAGTGCATGCCTAGCTCAGTCTAGGCATGAGAATCTTAATCTCAGGGATGTGGGGTTAGCAGGTAGGGCCTCTGATGCAGATATCAAGGCACAGGCAGGTTCATACAGGTGCAAGTGGTCCTTCAAATAACCATGCACCCAAACAATTTAAAGACTTTAAAGGCCAAGACTGGCACTTTGAATTGGGCTTGGAGACACACTGGTAGCCACACTGGTAGTGGTGTAGTGGTTAAGAGCAGTAGATTTGTAATCTGGTGAACCGGGTTTGCGTCTCCATTCCTCCACATGCAGCTTCTTGGTCTAGTCACACTTCTCTGAATTCTCTCAGCCCCACTCACCCCACAGAGTGTTGGTTGAGGGGGAGGAAGGGAAAGGAGAATGTTAGCTGCTTTGAGATTCCTTAGGGTAGTGATAAAGCGGGATATCAAATCCAAACTCTTCAGTGCAGAATGCTTGCAATGTGCCTAGACTGCCTAGCCCCACAAGGACAGAACTGGCCACATTCCGTGTCAGCTGAAGTTTCTGGGCCCCTTATAATGAATTAGCATAATTTACAGTATTTGGTGAACCCCCTCCCTCCTTATTTTAAGCATGTCACATTCTTTCATATACAAAAATAGTTATCGTATCCTCTCCCCAGGTGTATGGTTCAACAGAGTAAAGGTGTCTTATCAGATGGATGCCGTAGGCAGGACTTCAAAAGTTTATTATCAAGAACCTCTGGTCTAGTGGGAGGTTCATACTCCCAATTTCCCAGTTGCCTTCCTACCTGAGGATACTGGCAAGTGCTTGGAACCTATCCTAGTTAAGGAAAAGGTGTGAGTCAGCTTTGGATGTCCTGCCTGCAGGACTCAGCTGAGTTTGCGCCATCTGCTGGATCATGCCCTGTGGAAAGGATAGATCCAAACCTCATGGGTAAGTGCACATTTTTATCTGTGTTATTTTGTTGGCATCAGAAGTATTAGATAAGCAACAAAATAGGTTTGATGGGCACCTCTTTCGTTTTATGATTATATCCCATTGATCATAGGAAGCAATTTGGCAGGCCATTGAGTGTCACAATCATTACATTACCAATGAATTATAAAGGAAAATAGGTCCACTGACTTGTCTTTGCTGTTTTGTGGCAGCCACGAGCACTGAGGAATATTTACAAACCTTCTGAAATAACATAATTTTATGCACTGGTTCCTATGATAACTCACAGAAATCAGTTATGGAATTTTTGCAAATAATTTAGAATATTTTACATGTTCTGATACAGTGATATTTAAAATCTAGGTGAAAAAATAGATTTTTCAGGATACACACAACTCCACTGGAGAGCTGCATGTGTGCACTGATAATTTTTTTTGGAATTGTTGTGCATGAGTTATTAGTGATTCATTTTAAAATCTCCTTACTTTTGTTTTTGCATATTTACAAACTGTTCAGACCAACTACTAGTGTTCTGGATCACTGCATTTTTGTGCATTTGTCTTTCCATGATATTAATCATTGTATGTATGTGTGATTTTAATATCTTTGATACTGTGGAAGATATTCCTGTCCAGGTAAATTTGAAAAGTCACTATTTTTTCCTAGTACTCAGTATAGTGCTAGAAATGCTACTTTCCAAAGTTGTTTTTAGAATGAGGAAAAAAATTTACCTATTGTAAAAGTGCTGATGAGCAATAATATTTAATGTTTTTCCTCTTTCCCCTCTTCCTCATGGTACTCCAGAAATTTATGATGAAGGTAAGCTTGAAAACTGTTGTTTAATTAATTTATCTCTTCTCGACCAAGAACAGTTCAGAAGAGATGCAAAACTCTGTATCACAGTAAAAGTCAATTAAATAGTCAATTAAAAAAAATATCTTAACCAGTCAGTTGTTAAAAGCCAATTGGTTAAATAGCCTTTCTATAACATACTGAACATCCAGCATTCACAAAGAAGGAAATTTGTAAGAAGATTTATACTGCTCTCCCTGGCCAAACATGGTTATATAGTGGCTAAGGATCAGATTTAATAATTATTCATATTATAGTAAAATTATGAAATTTGGCTCAAATACATGGAACCGGGCTATAATGTCTGTAAAATTCTGTAATGCATTCGAGTTACTAAACTGTACCAAATGCCACTGGATACTTTACAAAAGTTTTCAGGATTTTTTCCTGTCCCTCAACTTTGTCATAACTTTCCTCATTCTGTTGTTAAGCTTCAGTATTCATGCCTTTTAGTGGTTTATTTTTTTCACCAAAAAATCTGAGGGTTTGCCTTTTCAATATGCGGTAAACCATATAAGTTTTCTAGTTTTTAACAGGGTTTATTAAACTGCTATCTGTTACTGTGTTGTGTGAGATGTTGATTGGATCTTGGAGGATTAACTTCATTTTTGCTACGTCTGAGATGATTGCCTGGAGTGCTCTTTTCTAAATTCCATCCAGCTATTAGAAGTGCAGTGTTGTCAGTTAAGTTTATTTGTTTAATGTTTAATCATTATTTGTTTAATGCTTTTATTTTGCTGTATAAGCAGCATTATTTATTTTTTGTATAATATCCTTAAAATCATTGCACTTCCAACAGTCAGTTTGCGTAGGTTTGAGACAGGACATTCTTGGGACTCAGCTATACAACTGCAAATAAAACATTTTAAGTGTGTTTTAAGTGCAATATATAAGGTGACACTAGATGGCAATGGTGAGCCTTATGGAAAATTCAATGTATTTTAAAAAAGGCTTTTAAAACAAAGCATTTTCAGAACAGTTTTTATATGTGTCTAGATTCCCCCTTGGTGGCAATTCAGCACAGAGTGGTGGGGCGGTGCTGTTCACCAGACCCCTCTGGCTGTGTTCTGCTATGTACTGAGAGGGTGAGACAGTGGTGAGGCCAGCTCAGTGTCAGCATCCTGGTGGAGCCCATTTGGCACTTAAGCTGGCACATTTGCACTGCTGGTGTTTTGCCCTCTTTGTCCCACTATGCAGCAGTGATGCAACCCGAGGGAGTGTTCTGTTTGCGACTGGTTTCTAAGATGAAGATTAATTTGTGGCCAATATACAATGTAGGCAAATTAAATACAAATGAATTCAAAATCTGCATGTTCCCTGTGATGCTACTTCTGGAAGTGAATACCTGTCAGATGCAGGTCAGCACACAAGAAGCAGAGTTTGGCAGTGCAGGATTCTTTTTCCCCCAAGAAAATGGCATACAACTCAGCAGTGCCTCCCATCAGGACTGATGGTTCCCGCCCTCTGCTTCTCTGTTTCCCATGTAGCCTCAAACTATATTGGGCACCTGTAATCTCTGTTTCACCCTATGCATTGCCCTACATGTCCTTGGAGTCAAGCAGGGAGGCGAGCTTGTCACAGGAGGAGGGCAGACTCCTGGGATTCTCCTGCAGCCTCTTGCCCCCCACCTCTTCTTCAGCCTCTGAGTCTGAGCTGCTCCCTGTCACAGGCTCTCCTTGCTCACTAAAGCCTGTTGCTTCTTCAGCACCCAACCTTTCCTCCCTACATTCTCCCCCGACCTCTCCTTGGTGTCCCACCACCAATCCTTGGGCTCTGAGCCTTTCTCTTTAGGGAGTTCCCTTGGGGGTTGCCCAGCTGGTACCTCCCGCCACTCCTCATCATCTAGTCAGCCCTCTTTGTAGCTCAGTGATGCAGTGTGGAGGACCCATTCCCTCTCTACCTATCGTTTGTGTGTGTGCATGCACACACATACACACTTGTTTATCTCTTCCCGTTGAGTGTGTGTGCCTGCTTGCCTGCCTGCCTGCCTACCTGTCTATGTGTGTTGAATGTGTGTGTGCATGTGAGCGGAGTGTATTGGCCATGCCTTCTGCTGACATGCAGATTATGGAGTGGTGGTCAACTCATTGTGGCCCTTGGGCTGAGGAAAGTTAACCAGACCTGATTTAGTGCGTTATGAAGGAGACTTTGACCAAGGCTTCTCCACAGAATGTTAATAGACATGAAAAATTCTGTTCAGAGTGATAGTCCTGGTAATATGGGTGCTCAGATTATATCAAGCTTTGTAGGACAAAATTAGCACTGACTAATAATACCTTTGAAACATTTCATGATTTTTCTCTCAGTCCAGCCTCTCTGGATATTTCACCTTCAGGTGTTGTTATTATAGACTTGTCTCTTGTACCATACACATGAATTGCACTAAATGAATAGGTAAACTGTTACTTGCATAGTGCCCTCTGCTTGAAAAAGAATGAAGAGCAAGTCTGTACCCTGAGGGTCTTACTATCTAGATAACAAATAAAGGGGAGACATCATAGCAAGGGGAAGTAAATGAAGGCAAGGGGTAGGCAAGGGAATAATATATTGTTTTTTCAGCTATATGTATTTAGGCTTAGTTGCTGGAGGGCATGGGGACAAGGAAGTTCTTCCAAAGGCTTCATGAAAAGGGTTTGTTTTGAAGAAGGATTTGAAGTCAGCAAGAGAAGTGACATCATGAAGGTGATATGGGAGGCAGACACTAAGTGCCTTTGAGGGTCCCTTCTGCAATCTCTGTTCAAGAGCAAATGTAGTTAATGCAAGAAAGAAAGTAGATGAGAGTTCTTTTAAAATCACATGTTTTATAAACCTTCCCTTGTATGTTTTACAACTGCTCGCATGATTCCCACCCCCCCATTAAGCCCGATACTGTACTTTTTTATTTTTTGCAAGTGATGGAAAAGAGCAGTTGATGATAGAAATGCTGTCTCAGCAGCAAAGATAAATATTTATATTTTATATTCAAGGCTACACTGTCAGTATCAATGTAGGAATGTATTACCAATTTATTGAGGAATTGCTGATTTTTTTTTTAATGCATATATGCTAAGCTATCTGTTGCTGGGAAAGTAGACCATATATTTTGTGTTGAATATGTTAATCAAGATACCTGATTTATCATCTTCAGTATGCTTCTAGCTATATGTTCAGTCATTCGCCAGCAAATCAATAGCTTTAAAATCAGGAGCATTTATCATTGTGTTGCCATAAATGATTGTGATATGATTATCAATGAATTCAGTCTCTGGAATAGAGGCTATAAAATATCCCCTTATTAATGAAATGTATGCAGGCATCTCATTTAGATGATTTATTCAAGGCCTCTATTGCCTTTATTTTGCTTGCATGAGCTACAGCTTTAAAGCAATTCCCCCCCTCTTCCTCTCCCCTCACCTGGTTTTGCATGTATAGTTGATGGTGACAGATTCCATATACATTCTAGCTTTTGCACTGTCTGTCTCCCACTGTTGAGAGTTCCATCTCCTATTAAATGTTATCTTAGCAGAGAGAACAAGTCTGTTTATTACCAACTTTTAAAGTATCCTGAATCCTGATGCCTAGGGCAAAATTGCTTTAAATTATTGCCCCCTGTGTTGAATTATTTTACTTGAGATGGTTGTGTGTTTGTTTATACTGTATAGGTATATGTATGGGATGGACATTCTATGACATGCACTGATAGGATTCTGGAATTTATTTATTTTTCTATGTTAGGTAAGAGATGTTCAGCAAATTCCAAGGCTAGGCCATTTCATTGTAAAAGTACATTGCCTTTGAGGGTTCATTGCAGAAATCATAAAATATTGCTGAAATGAGGTTCCCATAAGTTTTTTTTTAAAAGTTACTTGCGCTCTCCTAAATGTGACTAGGGCAGCACACAAATGTGGGCTTGTTATTCTGCCATGCCCAGTGCTTTTTTCCGGGGGCGGGGACGCAGGGGTACACATACCCCTAAACATTTCGTGAATCTAAGTTTGGCCTCATTGAGGGGAAGTATTTCAATATGAGTAGGAAAATTAGAGTAGTCCTAAACATTTTTAAGAAAAAAAGAACTGGCCACGTGCAATACAAAACCTGAGGATAGGGGAAATGAAAAATAGGTGTTTGACCCTTGGTGTTCAACACAATGAACTACAGTCCAGTGGACTGCATAGGCATTCCGGTTGCACAAATGGTAATGGAATAGCGTAGTGGAACACTGCCCAGGTCATGGAAGAGCAGCTGCTTCAGAAGCCCATCGTGCATCAAGAATTGTTACATATTCTAGCCTACCAGAAGGGTGGAATGGTTGTGCTACAATTTAGTAAGAACACAGACTGGCAAGGAGGTATCTTGCCTAACAGGCTTTGCTGTTGTCTATTATTTTCTGGCAATTATATTTACATCTTAATAGATGGAGCCAATACTGTCACACACCCACACAAACCCCTATTATCTCTGTCTGTCTGTCTGTCTGTCTGTCTGTCTGTCTGTCTGTCTATCTATCTGTCTATCTATCATCTATCTTACAATCTAAATTTAAGAAAATTTATATTGAATGCTTGATAAATCTATTTTTTTACAAGTCATTTGCTGTAAGTTGTAGAGCATGTGTTCTGCATGCAGAAGATCCCAGCTTCAACACTTAGTGTCTCCAGGTGTGGCTGAGAATGACCTCTGTCTGAAACCCTGGGAGCTGCTGCCAATCAGTGTAGGGAATATTCAGCTACACAGACCAATGCTATGATTTGGTATAAGGCAACATCCTATGTTTGTGTGTTCCTAACACACACCCACCCACCCACCCACACACACACCCATTTTGACCCCTCACAATAGGGGCAATGGGCGAATCAAGATTTCCTTATAATAGAAAAGAACAATTTCATGCCAACATGCTAATGAATCCCTCTTATTCATGCAGACTGCTCAAGGTGGTGGCCATCGAACGCTCCTCTATGGACATGCAATATTGCTGCGCCATTCATACAGTGGTATGGTATGTATGCTGATGTTAACGTCTTCTTTTAAGGCATCAAAATTAGAGGGCTGCAGTTGATGGATGATGGGGAAAACTATATGTAATTGTCATAGAGATTATACTCTGTATGTGTGGTAGCAGGGAATTCTGTGGCTATTCCGTTCCAGTGCAGTCATCTGTGTTGGATATTATGCCCCCTGCATTATGGAATACATTCCCAGAGGAGGTGAGGCAGATACCAACGTTGTATGAATTTCAGCATGCTGTGAAGATATTTTCATTTCAACAAGCATCCTGTGAATGCTGGGGTTTTTTATCACGTCACTTTTTGATAGTCAACTATTTTATGTATGATACAGATCCTGTATTTTATTTTGTTGTAAATCACGTAGAGATACGTGATTGTAGGCTATTGATAAATATTTTAAATAAGTCAGTAAAAACCTGCACAAATGAAATCCTGAAGAATTGCATCCAAGAGATTATCACAGTTGTTACCAATTCACTTTCAATAGTTTCATTGTTGTAAACCACATGGATATTTTTTAATGAAATAGTGGTATACAATATATTTTTTTGTATCTATTATACTTCATCTGTAGTCTGTACTCAACCTTAGAAATTTGGGGATGCATGGGTAACATCTCTGATATTTATATGCTGCTTTTCAGGCAGGCAAACATTAAAAATGTTAAAACAGTAAGCGTCAATTGAGATGGTTGAAGGAAAACAGCAAGGCAAACTGCAAGCTCCTCCTCTCTGTCAAGGTGGTTTTTAGGTAGCCCTAGGAAGAAGAGAGAGAGGTCACCTCAGTTGGAACACTTTGAGCAAGATGATGGACCAACTCTATTCTTATTGACAGCCTCTATCTCCCTTTTTTGTAATGTGTAATGTTGTTGCCTTATTTTATTTAACCAGTTGACACTGTGAATGTAAGCATTTGCGTTTTCCTTTAAACTGGAATTTACAAGGGTTTCCCTCGGAATGCAGCATGTTCCCTTCCTTCAGGAAAAAGCAATGTCTCCTCACATTTGGGCTTCTTTCTTGCAGCATTTTCTCTCCTACTTTCTCCTGCTTTCAGGCTTTGTGGTTTTGCTATGTCTCTCACATATAGCAGTTGTTATTTACACACAGCAGCCTTGAGTTCTGAGTCTATCTCTCTGTTTATGCTGGCACTCTATATGTAAAAACGTCCCCTTAGAATAGCCCTTGCTCCCTTCTGGCAAGCCCATATCTACAGCTGCTCCATCTCCCTCACAGTATTATATAGTAAAGTAATTATATGTCTAAATTGAATAAAGAGCATAAAACTAGTTTTTCTTTTCCTTCTTTCTTAGTACCTGTGTTGTCTCTCCACCTCAAGAACATCAATGGACAAACTGGCATTTGATGTAGGCTTGCAAGAAGATACCACAGGTAAATAAAAGCTTTGCAAAAAACTGCACATTCTTTTATATGGCAGCAAGTTGAAATAGATTTAAATTTCCAACAGAAACTTACAGTATTATACAACTAACAGCATTTGTTTGTATGTTCCAATAGACTTTAGAATATTATATGTTCCCCTTTTTTTACCTTACAAATGCCTAGTTCCTTTCCTGTTAAAAATATATGTGAACATACAAACACTGTAAGTTATTTATTATTTGGAATCCCTAGTGAATCTTTCAACTGAGACTGGTTTTGACTTTCTTCTGTTCAGATAGTGTTCTGCTTGCAATTTTAAAGCTAATTCATTCAATATTTTATAGGGCAGTGGAGACCATCTCTCCAAGGTGAATTTAGTTGCATGTTTCTTATTATCAGCTTTGTGAGAATGCATATTTTAAAGACTATATCCATTCAACAGAATAGGAGAATGTGTGCCTATCACAGTTTGATTTTAACAGCAACATTTCTAGAACTATTCGTTTAACACTCTTATTTAACACTCACAGTGTGGCAGTTGCTATTTTTTGCTTTGCAGACTCTTCTTTTGTTGACAGGAGATGTGGAATCATTTGGTTATATGCAGATATCACACTTCTGCAATCTTTAAATGGCATGGACTACCACCAAGTGTAGAATAGAAGTCCCATCCTAACCATTTCATAGAGTCGGCTCCATATTCCATATTCTCAAAAATACAATTTTAAAAGGAGGTCAGAGACAAAAATTAATTGTTAATGTAACAGCTGAAAATTAACTGTGAAGGAGCAATGGAGTCTTTAATATGAACTTTTCTCAGGGTATGGTCTAAAGGTGCAGTAGACCCACACCTTGCTGAAGGTGAGCAGGTCTGCATCTGGTCAGTGCCTGGGTTGATCATTACCTGGGAACCACGTTTAACTGCCTTGGATTCCATGATGGAAAAAGGCAGGATACAAATGTACTTAAATAAGTAAAACTGTCAGCAGGATAGCCATTTATTTTTGGGGAGCTATTGAACTAAAATAATATTTATTAGTACAAAATTGCGATCCCTTGTTCATTCTTCAGCAAAGTATGTCCAAATCATGACAAGTCACTGCACCCCAAAACCACAATTAGATGCAAAAATAGAAACAATGTATATCAAGGTGCTTTTTACATTCTTCTGCCCATCTTTTCCATTAATCGCGGTAATGTAGGTGAGGCATGTTGGTGGACAATACACCCTGCTTCCAAACAGCGTTCTGAAGGAGAGAAAGTACGTGTTGGGGATGATCTCATCCTAGTTAGTGTCTCATCAGAAAGGTACTTGGTAAGTGAAGTATGTTTCGAGTATAATAATTGCATGGTACTTAACAAAGCTTAGTGAGACAGACTCTAATTTTTAGACCATGTTTCTGATGTGGCATTGGATCTGAAAGTCAATACATACACGTTCAATGTTTTATTGTGTTTTTGTATATGCTGGAAGCCACCCAGTGGCTGGGGCAACCCAGCCAGATGGGAGGAGTATAAATAATCAAAATTATTATTATGACATATTAGTCATTGACCTGGTTCATATGGCATGAAAATGTGTGGGCTCTTAGCGAGGAGCTCACTATCGTGCCATATACAGAAACAGTTCTGGTCACCTCACCTCCAAAGATACTGTGGAAATGAAAAAGGTCCATAAAAGTCCAAAAATGATCAAGGAGATGAAAAACTCCATTATAGAGGAAGGCTACAACATGTGTGGTGCAGAGCAAGTAGAGGTTCTTCACCCTCTCTCATAACACTAGAACTCGTGAACGTCCAATGAAGCTGAATGTTGAAAGATTCAAGACAGACAAAAGAAAGTACTTCTTCATAAGCCACATAGTTAAACTATGGAATTCACTCTAACAATATATAGTGGTTACCACCAATTTGGGTGGTTTTAAAAGAGGATTAGGCAAATTCATGAAGATTCAGGTTATCAACGGCTACTGGTCATCATTGCTGTGTTCTGCTTCAATGTTTGAGGTGGTATGCCTCTAAAATACCCATTGCTGGGAATGGCAGGTGCAGAGAACACTGCTGCACTCATGTCCTGCTTGTTGGTTTCTCATGGGCATGTGGTTGGTCACTGTGACAACAGGACGCTGCACTAGGTGGCCCTTTGGCCAGATCCAATGGGGCTCTTGTCTTCTTAGTAAAGAACACAAAGGCAGATGAAAATAATGCAGTTACCTATTACCATTAGGTCAGATGCTAAAACAGCACGGTTTATTTATAAGCAAACATGTATTCTCCAGCCTTGTCTCTGCGCGCCAATCAGAGCATGAGTTTATTTTACATGGGGGGGGGGGTGTAACAGGAACATATGGGACGGGAAGTAAATTCTTCTCACAATGCACTCAGAATGTCTCGTCAGTATTTGCACTGAATTCTGATTTTACTACAAAATACTAGCTGCTTAAAGCTGTTGCCTATTTTAGTAGTAATGAAGGTTGCAAAGGCATAGTCCTGGCTTATAACAGCACATATACATAAACACACACACACACACACACACACAAATACCCACCCACCATATTTCTCTTATTGTAATTTGTTTTAAACTGTTTTTACCATTGTGTTTAAATTGTTAAATTGTTGTAACCTGACCTGGGACTTTAGACTGAAGAGTAGACAATTGATGATGATGATGGTGATGATGATGATGATGATGATAATAATAATTATAATATAATATAATAATATACTACACCCTGGTAAATTGAAAGATAATTTGCTTCTGGCTGTACTAGGGGCTCCAAGTGGTGTCTGCTTATACTCCTGGGGGCCTCATGAGTTATGATGGGCAAGACTGGATTGATATTCAACAACTTTGTGCACCATACTGTGACAGCTTTTCTAGGGAAGAACCCTGACTTCTTTCTGACATGGCATGGAAATGACAGTGACATCAGTAAGACAGAGGACAGGGAGCTGGCACATTGACTGCTGATTAAGACCTCTGAACTGGAAAATAAACACATTGTTGATTCCTCGTTGCCAGAAAGATATAAGTGGCACAGTTAGTTTGTGTGTCAGTCCTGCACACCACTAAGTGTACAGAGTTAGCGTCAACAGAGGATGGTTGAGAAGTAATATTAATCTGAATCTGGTGCTTCCTATCGGTTCCCTGGGGCAAAGCATGTCTTTTAGCAGAAATTTTGATTCATGTAACCCCAGCTTCAAAGAAAAATGCCGTCAGAAAGCTATTACTTGCAGCATGAATTCAGTGATTACTCAGTATTTTCTGATTCACTGACAGTTGCATCAAGCCAGAGAGCTGAAGAAAATTAGGTTTGAGTGCAGGTGACTTGCTGCTGCAGAGACATTTGAGTGACTTTTGGCTTCATAGGTTGTTGTTTCAATTTAGAAACTCCAGTGTGGATGCAGAGAGGGTTTGTGGTGTTTATACACAGCTCCTTGTGAGCAGGATTGTCCGGTTCTTATGCATGGTTAATTGGAAGCCCAATGATTTTTTCATCAATTTCAATTTGTTATTAATTTCACAGTCTGCTTTTTTCTTTCTGCATATGAATAGTGATATAAAATTCACAGTAATAGAAATAATAAAGCAATATCAAGCATTGCAAGCTGGAGGGTCTACATCTTTGTAAGTGGCTTGGATGAAGGAATTGAGGGGATGCTCATAAAATTTGCAGATGACACCAAACTGGGAGGGGTAGCCAATGCCACAGAATACAGAATCAGAATTCAATATGACTTTAACAGATTGGAGAACTGGACCCAAACTAACAAAATAAATTTCAATAGGAACAAATGTAAGGTTCTCCCCTGAGGCAGGAAGAACCAGATGCACAAATATAAGATGGAGGACACCTGGCTTGCCAGTAATACACGTGAAAGTGATCTAGTGGTCTTAGTAAACAACAAAATACTGGGGGTGGGGGCCAGGTAAGCCCCACCCTGGATAATTGATCACATGACATCGTTCATGCACACCATTTGAACAGCAATTCCCATCAACTGGGGGGGGGGGGCTGCCACCTCAAGTATTTTATGGGGGGACGGACGAAGAAGGGACTTTGGCCCCTAGGGTTTGGCTTCTAAGTCTGAGTGCCACAATTTAAGAATGATACTGACAATCTGGAACATGTGCAGAGGGTGGTGACTAAGATGGGTAGGGAGAAGAGAGGAAGGGGAAGTCTTGTTCCACAAGTTGAAATCTACTCGCATGATATTTGATAAATACAGGTTCTTGTATATTCTTGTAGTGTAGTTTAATAATTAGCTCTCTCTTTCTCCTATGTTTGCAGCATTTGTCTTATGGGAATGGCAGCTTGCGAGTTGATGCAGCCTTCCAGCAAACACTGTGGAGTGTAGCCCCCATCAGTTCAGGAAGTGAAGCAGCTCAAGGTAATATTGATAACATAATAATGCTAATGCTAATTGTACTATCAGTTAGCTGTTTCAATAATAATGGCCTGCAGATAATTGCTGTATTGAACAAGTATTTCAGGACCTTTATATTATTTTATTTAGGGATTGGAGGAAAGTGAGACAGATGGTACTGCCGCATGTCATAAAATCAGTCCTACTCAAGGACTCTTGATTTTATAATGTGCAAAATGAATAAATAATGAGAGGGAATGCGCTGGATGATAGGCAGGTGGTTGTGTTGGCTTTTGATTTTTCTGGCATTCTCTTAGCCACCCACTCCCAACTCGTTCGTCGTCCTGCTTAGTGTCTCATTTTTTACATGTCACAAAAATCAGTACATTAGTGCTGACTTACAATATATCTGATTTCACTGGTGTGCAAAAATACCTTGGGGAAACCATGGATTCCTGGTTTGCCAGATAGCTTTTACTATGATTATATTTAATGAAGTCTGCACTGAATCATAATTATGCTGTTAAAAGCTCTTATTTCTGTTTTGTGCGTGATCTGGTAGTAGCTTTCATTGAAAGCAAATAATCTTTATAGATTTTATCATACATTTACATTTCAATAATGTAATGTAAACACAATAGTGTTTCAGATTATTCTCTCCAAGAGTATGCAAGGCTTAAACCTTGATTAGTGCCGTTAAAAGATGGCTATTTTCCCCAGTAGCTTTGTTAAAAAGCAGGAAATCTGACTTTTGACACATAGACAGATGAGTGCTATCTTTTAACAGATCACTTACTGCACTTATTATTCTAGACATGACTTCAGATAGTGCCTGCAAAACCTTGCATGTGCACAGGGCACCCACAGGCTTAGTAAGTAGTGAATCCATTACTTCTATTCTTACTATAGCCCTTTTAACACCAAATAAAACTAAAAAAACTAAAACAACTAGGAGACAGGGGTGCGGATTTAAAACCAGTACTATCGGGATTCTTTGAAATTGAATGGAAGTAGATATTTGCAGATTTTGGGCTTGGATTAATCCTAAAACACATAATGTTTCCCACCCACCCCCCAATTATAGGTTACCTGATAGGAGGTGATGTACTGCGGTTGTTACATGGTCACATGGATGAATGTTTGACTGTCCCTTCAGGAGAGCATGGAGAAGAGCAAAGAAGGTAAATTTTATGATGGGAGGGGGAAAAGATGGTCTTGACAGGATGCTGTGGACTGGGCCACTTGGTGTTCTGAGAAGGAACCAGCAAGAGAACTGCTGCACTTATCACTCCCTAAGCCCCATAGCTCTAGGAAAGGGGCTATGTCACAGGCCCCATGAGGTGGGGAGACTCTTATTAGCAACTGACCAAGTGCATTGAGACCAGACTGACCCCTTGTCTATAGCTGATGTCACTGGGTAAAATGCCAGCATGAAAAACGTAAAGTAGAAGGAACTGTTACTGCTCTGCTATCCTCTGGGAATTTGGGACTGTATTGCCTGGGGAAGTAATTGTGAGATTGACCAAAGTCTAATAAAGCTAGGCTTTTGCCAAGCTTGCCTTCATTTGGGGCTCACGTTTGAGCATATTCCCCTCATGGAATCCGTGGATCATGGAGCATTATTCATTGTGCCACTTCCCGAGGACAGTCCCACAGACCAAGCAAAGAAATTCATAGGCTGGAATACTAACAGTGCAATCCTATATACTTGTCCTCAGAAGTAAGTCCCATTGAGTTCAGTGGGCTTAATTCCAGGTAAGTATAGGATTGCAGCTTTAGCCATTTTTTTTAAAGCTGTACAGGTTGCAGTCTTGGTTACTCAAAAGCCTTCATTATACTTCCTTGCTATATTTAGTTAAAACTGTTTGAGGAGTTAAATCTGTTCAAGGATTTATGGTTAAAGCACATGGTAAATCACCTGCTTTGCATATTGGGTTCAATTCCCAGTATTTCCAGTTGAGAAGGACCTTAACTAGAAGAGCTGGGATCTTGGAAGAGACTTTGCCCAAGATCTTGGAAGCCATTGCCAAAGTACTAGAATACGGGAACTTCTTATGACCCCGTTCCCAAATCTAAATGTAACATCCTTTTTAGACCATAAGCATGAATGGAAATCTTAGTTCTTGTTTTGAGCGGTTGTTCTATAACAGTGAGCGTCAACAGCAGTGTAGATTAAGAAGATACATGGTGGATTTTGCAAATACTTTTCTTGAAAATTGAGCCTGATCCTACATGGGCTTCACAATAATAGGACCCACTGAAGTGAATAAAGCTTGCTTTAGCCAAAGGCTTGTGGAATTGGTATTTTTGATACTTTCGTTTATTGAGAATAGAAGTGTCATTTTATTCCCCCCCCTCATTTTTCTGTTGCCCATTGTACCTGGGGCTTGCCTAAGGGGTTACTAATGCAGAGAGAAAGAGAGAGACCAGAGAGAGAATACTCTAGCAGCTCCTCTGTCACTTTATATGGAATCTAGAGGGAGAATAATGATTATGTGTCACTGTGTTTGGAGCTGGAGCAGAGTCACTATGGGGGGAGAAAATGTTTTTTACAAGAACATAGAGATACTTTTTCTCTCACTTTCCACATCCTACTCTGAGATTAATTAAGCTCATTTATTTTTTAATGGGACTTTTGGACCAAACTTCATTACAAAGAGTCAAAGAATGATTACCAGAATATTAGAAAACACACTGGAAAATCACCACCACCACCACCATCATCCATTGGTTATAAGACCATCACCAGTATTCTAAAACCTATTACAGCCTAAACCTCAATCAAATTCTCAGGAGAACAAATAGGATTCCAGAAACAGGTCAAAACACATTAGTGTTGGTGTATATTATTCACCTTCAGGTGGAAAGAATTCCACAGCTGGGGAACTATTGCAGAGAAAGCCCAGACCTGCATTGTAGTCCTGAATCCAACAGCTGAAAATGAGACATTAAAAAGGATCTCTTCTGATCCCAGTTTTTGGATTTGATGATATAGGGAGAGAAACTAAAGAAATTCCTCAGTCCCAGGCCATGCAGGGCTTTATTAATCAGTTGTATCACCTTGAATTTGATCCATATATGTGCCTAGTTCAGACTCCACTAAATAGTTATGATAGGCAGACATCAGACAGACATCGGGCTTTGCTCTTGTAGCTGCATTCTGCATCATCTTCAGTTTTGAAGGAAGTGCAGCATATAGCACATTTCAGTAATCTAAACAGAAGATTACCAGAGCATGCTTTACTGTGGCCAGTTTTTTCTTCTTCCAGAAATAGGCATAGCTGGCATGCCAGCTGAATTTGGAAATAGACACTACTCACCACTGAAACTAGCTAGGCCTCAAGAAACAGTGCTGAGTATCCCTAGACCAGGCTTCCTCAACCTCGACCCTCCAGATGTTTTGAGACTACAATTTCCAGCATCCCTGACCACTGGGCCTGCTAGCTAGGGGTCATGGGAGTTGTAGGCCAAAAACATCTGGAGGGCCGAGGTTGAGGAAGCCTGCCCTAGACTATGAACCTAGTCCTTCAGAGTGAGTGTGGCTTCATGCAGAACAGACCATTCACCCAAATCTGTGACATAGGAACTGCCCACCAGCAGTGCCTCTGTCTTGCCAAGATTCTGTTTCCGTGTATTGGTCCTCATTCAACCCATTTACTATCCACAGGTCCTAGTTCTTTGCCAAAACAGCTTCATCTGGTTCAGATGGTGTGGAAAAATAGAGCTGAGTACAGTATCATTTGCAGATTTATTCACTGATAATATCATCAAACACCAGGGCATTGTGCAATAGCAAAACAAAAATCATCCTTAAAAACGATACATTGCACTACCCCTGCCTGTTTCCCAGAACAGGTAATCAACCAGAGTGAGCAAAGCCATCTCAGTGCTAAACCTGGGCAAACAGCCAGATTGAAATTGGCCATGATAGGTCTGCTAAAGATTACAATAAAACGTGTTATAATTGGGACTTGTGTTGGTTAGTATGGCACTGATTAAAGAGTGTTGGAAACACCAATGAGGCAGGTTGAAGCAACTGCCTCAGGGAACAAAAATGCAAGAGGTGGCGTCCTGCCCTTCCCACCACTTCCATTACTGCTGGAACATGCCTCTCTCATTTTGCAAACGCTCTGCCTCTCCTCCGAGTTCAGCTAGAAGGGGCATTCTCGTGTGTGTCATTCTCACTTGTCTTTCCTGCCCCAGGAAGACAAGCAGCAATGCTTTGAGGAATGTTCCAGCTTTCAGCAAGGGAGACATTCTAATGGCGGCAGAAGCTGTGGTGGGCTGTGGCAGGAGGAGCAGGAGATGGCATGTTCCTCTTTTACCTCAAGGGGAGAAAAAGGACAGGCCAGGTCAGCATTTCTGAGCCAGCAAGGTTAAATGACAATAAATTGGAATTTGGAGGACTGAATGTTCATGTTCCAGCTTGTTTAAGCTGCTATCTCATGTTATCTGTTCCCTATATTTAAAATGGAAGCGATAGTTAAGTGCTTTTCTGAGTTGCTGAATATAAATAGAAGTGCTATATAAATTGGTGGTATAAAAAAATCCATAGAGAGGGAACGTAATTAGTACTCTTCTCATCAAGAAAAGTGAGAATAGATTTCAGGGAACATATATAAAAAAGCCCCATTTCCACATGCTTATTTAACTGTACACAAGTTTAATGGATCCCACTTCAGAGTTGACAAGAAATAGCAGGATTGTATGAGAATGGTTTGGGCAATTTAAAATATGTGAACCCTAAATTATCTGAGGCTCAGTTATAGAATGATACCTAACAGTGATTGCTCCTTTAGTTATTGTTCTACAAATTATTTTATGCTGTCTCTATTCAAGGAAGTTTCTTTGCTGTCCGTTATTACTCATGGTTGGTTTTAATTATAGCTGTATATTTTAATAATTTTGCTGTAAGTCACCCAGGGAATGTTTAATGATGGACAGCTGTATGCATTTAATAAATAATAATAACACACAAAATGGAAATGCAGCTCCATTGCAAAGCTCTATTACAATCATATCTCTGATGAGTATGGTAGGATGATCAACTCCCTGTTTGAGCAGTTAATGTATCTTCTGTTACTCCCACCTGTTTTTCTATCAGGGAGCAAAAATACATTTTAATTAATTTAGTTCCTGGGCTGCATTTGGTCAGAATTCTCGTTTTAGTCTTCTATAAACACAAGCTACACTTAAACCTTTCCCCTGACAGGGACTCAAGGCAGATAAAAGCAGCTAAAATTTAGGAAAAAACCCAGTCATTAAGAAACAATTAAACATTGATAGAATTAAAACCACCTATCTACATACATCCTTCCCCCACCCCTATTAAAACTGGACAAATAATTACAATAAAAACAGCGCAGCATCAGCCCTTTCATTAAAAGCAGTTTGAACAAGAAAGTATTCACTTGCTGGTGGAAGGAAAGCAAGGAGAGACCCAGTCTAGCTTCTCAAGGAAGGGAGTTACAAAGTCTGGGAGTAGCCATGTTTAATCCTCCCAGGACTCAAGTGATGTTTAATGGAGGAGAGGGGAGGCACTTCAAAGAGTAGTTTGGCAAACCCCTCTCTAAAGTGCCTTCCCTCTCTTAAAAGGGACTGGTGGTTGGGGTGAGTTGTGAGGGGAGGAATGGGTGAGGTATAAAGGGAAGGTTGCTGGTTTTGGGTCAGATTCAAAGTTCAAAGTGAGGAGGTGTTGGCTAGGTGTGGGAGAAGGGAAGTTGGCAAAAGAGTTGTTGGGAAGGCTAGGTTGCCAAGTGAAGCATGTGGGGTGGCAGCCCTAGTTAACAGCACTCATATGTTAGCTTTTCTTGAATTTAAAATTGTGCTAAAAGTTTTGACACTGACAGAAGGATTGCTTAGCTTTTAAAAAAATAATAATGAAACGGACAGATCCAAACCATGAGATTAAATCAAACCTAAATAAATTGACAATAAATCCACCCCATTTTTAAAACATGCTGCTATGAGGGATAGGCAAACAATAAAGGCAGGTTTATAGGGTTCAGAAAAGCACAAGATACCACAACAATATTTCGTCAACCTGGAGTGCAAAGGTTTATCAGACTAAAATGAATCAATTTTTCTTCCAGCATACTGCATTTGGTTAATGACAGAGAGGCCTTTTTCTGCCTTTCTTTGGCAGAAAAAGCCCTCATTTGTTTAGATACAGGTCACCCACGTCAAAATTAATTGAAATACACTTGATTTCATAACAGTCGTAATGCGTTTAGGCAACATATTTGTCTGTGTTGTCAGACAAAGATGGCTTGCTTGAGAATATTTCTAAGGTACATTCGCTTCGATCAGAATTCATTTTGTCCCACATTTCCGATGCCTAATTGTTATGTATTGCTATGTATATGTGTTTTCCTTTTTTTTTTGACAGTTACAGGTTTCTTTAAGAAATGCAGACTATTTTGCACTTGTGCCTGCTTAGATCTAAATACACCTTGCTGAGAAGAAAAGCAAATGGGACCCTGCAGTGATAAATTAATAAAGTGTATAGATTGTTTGGTACATAATTTCAGTGTTACAGGCTTTGAAATAACCTGGGTGGACAGGGGAAGTCATTGGCTGGGGGAGAAACAGCACAATGGTTCTATCCAGACTAGCTGCTTAAAAGCATGGATTCTTTAATGAGAGGCATGATATTTTTTATAGGGAAAAATTGAAGAAGGTTGTACAGTGGCATAAACCAAAATGTGTGTGAGCTTTAGCCCATCTTCTGAACAACAGAGTGCATGAAAAACTGTTGGTCTGCATGCACCCTGCCTTTCTGATTTTGAAAGGGCTAAGCAGCTTCTCAGTTCAATTTGGGGACTCAGCTGCATTCGTAAAGATAAAGCGCTTTATATGCGTTATAACATATGCCAACTAGTTTTCCTTATATGAAGTTTACAACACGTTTAACTGAATTGCGTTTTTGATGTGTCTAGATGCAGCCTGGCTTTCTATTTGTGGGGCACTATAGTATACAGTGAAACCAGTAACTGTGAAGTAATGGGACAGGATCTGATATTCTATCAGATGAGAAACTTTAAATAGCTTGATTTACAATTCAAGCATACCTCTGGCACTATGTTGTTACTCTCTGCAAAGTTCCTAAATGGGAATAGTAAGCTGAGAAATAGAAACATATGGCACAGTAGGTTGATAGCATTTGTGACAGTAGTAGCTATTTCATTTAAGACTGCAATCGTGAACCCAGTTGTATCCTCACCAGTTCAATGAATTCAGTAGGACAGACATATACACGTGAGAGGAACTGTGTCTTGTCTTAGATGCATTTTATTCAGGCCTTTTTCTTCTGTACTGATAAATAAGAACTTATGTATCTTTTTTAATTATCTGCATTGGAGCCTATGCAGTTCTCTGACAAGCTTTCCCCTCATGGTTATTAATTAGTGCTAGGGGAATATAAAGTAATAATTCAATTTTTATTCCATGTAACTAATTTGTTGTTTTAATTAAATGGAATAGATTCAGTGATCTGGGCTCCTTGTTTAGGTTTAGCCATGGGCAGGCCTTTGCAATTTCCTAATTTACATCACACAAATATGTTTTTTTTTTTAACCACAACAGAATAAATTGGTGGAAATTTGATTGGGTGTGCTGGGCTCCTGCATACCTGTCCCAGTAGTGTAACTTCGTATGTTCAGCAGAAAAGCAAGGAATACTCGTAGGAAGCTTTAAGGTCAAGGGAAATGCTGAGTTGTCTATAGGATTGTAGTGAATTCTCAGCAAATTACCAATTTCCATACCCTAGTTCAAAGGTGGTTAGCCCAAGAGGTTTTTTGTGGTCTACTAATACCCCTCATTTGTCACTTGAAGAAAAAAAATATTGATGGTTCCCATAGGTCTCCTGCTATGGTGCCATGATGCCTAAAGGTTTTTTTTTTTAACAGCTGTCAACTCCCCTGTTTATCCTTTAAAATAATAATTTTAAAAATCTGACTACTCTCATTAGCACGTGTCATGATGCCTAAAGGTTCTTGTGACCCCTCATTACCCACAAATTTGTCCTTGAATTTTATTTGCCACTCCAGCTTTTACATTCCAGCCATTTCCACATTTACTTATGATCCCTTGGAGGGTTGGCCATGGCTCAATGTGGTACGCAGTACCCCAAAAGCTCAGTCACCCCCTTAGTTGTTTTTTGTAACAAGACAGTACAGGCAAGAAGAAGGGGTTGCTTTTTGTTTTCATTGGAGATTATAGAAACAGGAATATATTTATTGGAGCTGACCTTTCGACTGAACTGTGTAGGCTTTTCAATTACTGTCCAAACAAGAAAATAAGCATTAATTGAAACCTCCTGCACAACCATGGCAACATAGGTTTAGCTGACACTGGTTCCTGCAAAAAATGGCCTTGTTAAAGTTTCCCTATAGTACACACTGCAGAGATATTAATGGGCTCAACATGTTTGATTGTGCCCCCATAGCAGCTTCCTCACTCATGCGCTTTCTCTCTTTCCCTCATATTTATTCCACCTGGCAGGTTTGTCTTGGGATGCTCTTACTTCACTTACTTCTCAATTGTACACTGTTTCCTACATAGCTTCCCCTTCCCTGGGTTGTAGGGGAACTTGCAAGGGAAATTACTTTAGTCTCTTATTTTCCTGGAAGGAAAGAGTGCTAGAATATGAACAAAACCTATCTAATATATAGTGATATGTTGTACAATAGCCATATTTGTACACTTTTTCATTATAAGAGGGAATATCTATGAAGAAAGGAAATGATTGAAATATTCATTTGATTAAACAGATCTCACAGAAATAAACTGGACACTAGTTTGATGTGATCAAACTACCTAACTAGTAAAGGTAGCTTACTAGCTCAACAAAATATATAATATATCTTGGAATGCAAATCTTTCAGTAGAATATCAACTGGAAAGAAGCCACAAGAGACTGGAAATGGACAGCAGATTTTAAGAGAGCTGAAAGTCTGAGTGGTACTGCTTTGCTTGGTGTTTATCTTTCTATGGCCTCTGGTGAAAGCAGGATGGATGTGGGCACACTAAGATCAGCAGTTTCTTTTTGAAGAAACGAAATCAGCTCTCTCTAAAACACTATCAGCTATTTTCAGCCTAAAGGTCTGGGAAATTCAGAAAATGCCTCTTGTGTTGCAGAACAGTCCATTATGAGGGTGGAGCCGTGTCGATTCATGCTCGTTCTCTTTGGCGATTGGAGACTTTGAGGGTTGCGTAAGTAAAGAACCTTAGATACAATGCAATTCCATTATGGCAACAAATGTCCCCTCTCTTTAAAATGCAAGCTTTCTCTTGAGAATTTTTTTGTGTTTATGCTGAAAGACTGATGGCAATTTGGAAATGTACTTATTTACCCAAGATCATAATCTACAATTTTCCCTGTGAAAATTTCACATGGAATTGATTTCCAATATGGGTTTGTGATGCTATTACACTTGTCAGATAGGTGTCAGTTTCAGGCTTTTCAAAATGCTGATTTGGGACAAGTTCCATGAAAATTGGTAATATTAATCAGTAAATGCCAGCAGCTGTGGGAAAAAGTTGTACTATAAAGCTGCAGCTGTTTATGTTCATGTCTTCTGATGGTAGCAGAGCCAGGCTAATGGAACAACATTTTTCTTCTTTTGGCTGTTTGACCTTGAGAATTCTAGTGCAGTGAATGAAAAATAGGTTCCTTTACATTTCCCTTGTGCATTTTTTTAGAAGTGCATTACCTTCTTACCTAGGATTGCATAGGAGCTGTTAGGTAGGTGGTCTAACAAATGACAGCCTACAGTCCAGGCTAACACATATCCTTGATACTTGACAGAGGAATACTTACCTAAATTCCAATTTAACTGTGATATTGAGTCATCTCCCTTTATAGAAAATGCGAGAAACATATAAGAAATGCCTTACAACTGTCAACAGTATCCAACTGCTCAGTTCTCATGCTGGTTATGAAATCAGCATTGGCATGTCTTCTTCACACATCTTCTTCACACATACTCACACCCCTTTTACTATTGGTGCATGTTGTAGGCCAAATTGATGTCTTATGTGAGGATTGTGTATTTATTGTGACTAGGAGCCTCATTGACTTAAACGGAACTCGGTGTTCTGCAGCCCCCTATTGGTAGCACAAAAGAAATGTGCTGAACTAAGGAGAAGCCTTGCTATTTGCCTTTTTCAGTCTGAGATGAATGTACAAAGTACAAGCAAAAGTATGCACCTGTGAATTCCAGTTGTGTTTCCCAGGTTGTAATGAAACGATGCTGTGTGTGGATTTCTGTTCTTGGAAGAATTTAGAAGATTCTCTGAATGTCCAAGTAGCAGTATCAAATCACCTGACTGGCTTCGCTGCCATGAAGCTTTTAGGTGTTAGGTGACATGGTTATGGCAGCGCATTTGTTTTTCCAGCTGCTGCTGGTGAGACCTCCAATACTGAGCTCTCCATCTCTCCTGTAGTCTTCATAAGCCACATAATTGTCTTGCTATAGTAGGCCTTTAAGGAAAAGAAGGATGCAGCCTTTACATGAAGTGGTGTCTTCCACCTGTTGAAATAATTCATATGTTCATGGAGCACTTGCGAATATGTGCCCAAAATCTGTACTGATAGACAAATCTATTGTCCCAGATAATTCACCTCTTGATCTGCTACCTCTGTTGAGATGAGCATGTAGCCTTTGCTGGCAGCTAGCTTCTTGTGTGCATTAAAGTTATCTTGCCTAAGAAATCACTGCTATGCCAATGTTCATTCTGAAAGTAAAACTAAAATGTTAACTCAATAATTGAAAATATTGTTGTTTTTATAAAATTGAGTTCAAATTACTTTTTAGATCATCTTTCATATTTTGTTTGGCATTTAACTATGGAATGTTACATGATCTAAGAATGCAAATGTGAACCTTTTTTAGATGGAGTGGAAGCCACATTAGATGGGGCCAGCCGTTCCGATTAAGGCATATAACAACAGGGAAGTATTTGAGCCTGATGGATGACAAGAGCCTTCTTCTAACAGACAAAGAGAAAGCTGATGTGAAATCTACAGCCTTTTGTTTTCGGTCTTCCAAGGTAGAAAATTCAAGTGCAGTGACAGATAATGTAAACTTGATGGAAACATTAACATTTCCAGTTGAACTATAATTTCTTAGCAGTTAGGCTGTGCATGCTTGTAGCATTCTCTCTGTGAAATTAAATAGCAGTGGACCATAAAAGTACACAAAGGTGCAAGTTGTGAAAGCAGATCTTATATCCGGCTCCTGCAATTGTCTTTTGATTTCATTTTGTTATGTTGGGTTTTACAACATCTGGAACACTACTCCTTGGATCTTAATACCTACATGCCTGATATATTATGCATTTGATACAAATTCCATTTAAAGTACAGTGTGCATTCATACACTTCTTCACTGTTAGTCTGTTTGTCATAAATTACTATCTATATAAGTTAAATTGTGACCCTTTTAAAGCAGATGTGTATTTGTATTGTATTGATGAAACATAATTTCATAAGAGTTTTGGGAAAACATGTATTAATCTAGGGCTGCCAACTAATACTCAGTTGGGAGTGAATCCAGTTCGGCTTGGTGAGGACTGCACTGTTGGCTAATCTTTTTTGCACACCCATTTTAGATTTTTCACACTCCTGCCCCATTGTTCAGTAGATGGAAGCATGTCAGTCTTAATAAAAAGCTGCATTCTGTCTCTTCAAACTGACATCTCTTTAAAACTTTTATTTTAATCTTTAATGTTCATATAATAGCTTTGAAGTACATTGTGTACTGGCTTTTTATTTGATGGATCTGAAAGAATCACAGCTTCAGCGCAATGTCATTAAGTTTATTAGAACTGAGTGAAGCTGAAAAAATGCTACTAGAGCCAAACTGATTTACTATAATTTATGTGTATGAATAAGTCCAGTTTGGAGGATTCCCTTAGGCTCAGTTGAATCTTGTTTCATCACCCTTATATACACATGCGTATATCCCCTATAGGGGAAGGAGGGCCTATGGGAATCAACTGTGTGCAGGTGATGTGGATGACTGGATCATGCCTTTCAAATTTGTGCATAGTTACTGTGTTAGAATTACTATACTTGAAAACGTATATAGCGAAATGATATAGACTCCATGCACAGAAGAATTAAAAATAAACATGTAAGTAAAATGTTTCTTGTATAGCAATGTTGTACGTATATAAAAGAATTTGAATTTCTGGGTGTTTGGAGAAATGTGGTTGTATTATGGAGGATAAAAATCACACTTAAATCCAATTGAAGTAGGTCAACCTTTAGCTTGTACGTACAAATACTATCAGTTTTAATGCTTATTAGTTTGTATTTAGGAAAATATATTTCACCTTTCAAAATTTTTAAATGTATGGGCTAATGTATTACATCTTCTTTAAAAAAGGAAAAATTGGATGTGGGTATAAGAAAAGACGTGGAAGGAATGGGAGCACCTGAGATAAAGTACGGAGACTCAGTCTGCTTCATACAGCACGTTGACACTGGATTGTGGCTCACGTACCAGTCAGTGGATGCGAAGTCTGTAAGAATGGGGTCTGTGCAACGCAAGGTAAGATGTTTTACACAAAGATATATATTTATGTTTAATATTATGTGAATGAAAAGGCACTGTTGGTGTGGCATTTTACATTTCAACTTTTCCCAAGTACTAAATGTGTTTCCCTATCAAAATAACAGTAGGCACTGAATCCTTTGGGACAGAATTTCATGTTACAAAGATACAAGGGCTATTTTTTAGACAGAACTCACTGGAACTCAGCATGTAAAGCACTTTGAGCATTTGGGAAGAGTTCTGTACAAAATGATGGTTTTCTCCTTTTGTGATCCTTGTTCTTTGATTTTGGTTTTGGCAGGCTATCATGCACCATGAAGGCCATATGGATGATGGCCTAACATTGTCCAGATCTCAGCATGAAGAGTCACGTACTGCACGAGTAATTCGTAGTACCGTCTTCCTTTTCAACAGGTTCATAAGGTACATGATTTGTTCTGGTTGAAAACGAATACCTTAGCCTTAGCTAGGCCTTAGTACCTGTAAGTTAAACAAGCAAACATTCTCCCACTGTCTCCACTCCCCCCTGCCCCCCATTCATCTGTTGTCACCTCCTATATCAAATTTTAGACTGTATCCCCCTGGGAACAATGACTTGTCCACTTGTCGCGCATAAAGCACAATGTATACCTATGACACTATGGCCTGGTTTATGAAATACTAAGCTAAGGTTTATTTGATCATCCAAACCAGGCCTTGCAACATAAACATAGTTTATAAACCACCAACCAACCATGCTCATAAACCTTGTTTAATGTTAACCATGGCTTAACTTTATGTGTAAACCTGGCCTGTTTAAATTAGTGGTGACTAACCTTTGGTCCTCCAGATATGATTGAGTACAACTCCCATCACCTGGCACTGTTGGGCATGCTGACTGGGACTGATGGGAGTTGGAGTCCAAGAGCATTTGTAGGGCCACAGGTTGGCCACCCCTGATTTAAATTGTCATTACCATACTCACCCTAATGGACAGCACAAGAAACACATGACAAAAATAAAACATAACATCTGTAGTATAAAAAGTTATGGGGTTTCAGCAGGAAGTTATGGGATATGCACTGATTGGAAGTGAAGCAATGTGACTACTCTGAAACCTTTGTAGGCACAAACAGAATTGAAAGTGATATTGCGTTTGACTGCCCAAATAGCATCAAGAGCACACACAAAAATCACAAATGCACAATAAATAGAACGTTTGGAGGCCTCCTCAGACTGGGAACATGTCATACTTAGAAGAGCTGTACAATTTGTTTTAGGGGCCTTGATGATCTCAGCAAGAAAGCAAAGTCTTCCACAGTTGACTTACCCATTGAGTCAGTCAGCCTTAGCCTCCAGGACTTGATTGGATACTTCCATCCACCTGATGAGCATCTAGAGCACGAAGACAAGCAGAACCGCTTAAGAGCACTGAAGAATCGGCAGAATCTCTTCCAGGAAGAGGTAGCAGTCTTGGTTTGCCTTTGGTGCATTACTTTTGGGACAGGTTAATAATTCTTTCAGCTTGACATAATGATTTGCATAAGGTTCTTTGAGTCAGGTTTTTGTTTGGTTGGAAACAAAACATGCTAGAAAGAGAAAATGTTTTGAAAAGTTTGTGGTTTTGTATCCCCTTGTATTATGTGTGTTTTTGAAGGCAAACAACTTTAGGGGAAGATGTGTAGAAATTTATCTGGTCATCTAATTTTGCAAGCGTATGGAAGCATCCTTGTTGGGTGACAGAAGAACTGCTTGCTAGTCTCAAAGAACAGTCATAATACTAAATCATTTAGGATGTAGTCCTAAACCATAGTTTAGCATTTAGCAGCAGTGAGCTTCAGGCTCACACACTCATTATGCTTCAAATGATAACTAGTTAATTAAGCTATGATTTGCTGAAATAAGTCAAACTAGTTCTATCTTGGCTTGTTAACTGAAAACTCTAGTTAATTAAAGTATGATTTGTTGAAAGAAGTCAATATCATAAACTACCTTGGCCTGTTGCAGTGAGCTATAATTTATTTTAACATTGACATACTGCTTAATCATTAGCATTTCTCACCATTTATTAAACTAATCTCAGTGTGTCCTTTTCAAATGTAAGAATAAATCTCGGTTGGTAAGAACTAGAAGCATACTCCTTGAAGCCATTCCAGGAGAGACTAGTGGGTAGTTTGCAGCTGTGAGGCTCATTCACAGTGTTAAAGTATGCTTTAGTGCTTTAATGCAGAGGTGGCAGACCTGTGGCTTTGCTGGACTAGAAGTCCCATTATCTAGGACCATTGGTGATGCAAGCTGGGGCTCATGAGACATGATATGTGGCAGGCCACAGGTTACTCACCCAAACTAGACTTCTGTGACTGAAAGCTTTCCCCCCAGAAAAAAATGGCTAATGCTTGCAAATGCATGATTCCCAAAAATGCAGTGATGCAGGGAGTGAGAGCTATATCAAGCTTGAACAAATACAAAAATAAGAATTCTCCAGAGAAGGAATAAGGTTGGGATTTTCAAACAGGGCACATGTGGGCACCACAATGGCTTTAGAAACCCCCTTAGCACCCACCAAGGCCCTCCCATTTTTTAAAAAATTAAGGTTTTGTGGTTTTTTTGGTATTTTGTGGGATTGCTTGTTTTTAGGGGTATAGCATGCTTTTTTGGTTTGTGTTTTTATTTATTTTGGGGTGATGTTGGCATTTTGCCTGCTTTGGGGTGCACATGTATATGCCTGTATTGATTTCTTTTTCCTTCTCCTTTGTTTTATTGTTTGTACCTACAAAGCTCATTGCAAGTTGTTTCCCCCCTGTTACAACAACTTCTTATTATTTGAGATAAGCGCTATTTCTCTTGTAGGGTATGATCAACTTGGTGCTTGAATGCATTGATCGCTTACATGTATACAGCAGTGCAGCTCATTTTGCTGATGTAGCTGGGAAGGAGGCGGGAGAGACTTGGAAATCTATCCTAAACTCATTGTATGAATTACTAGGTAAGATATGCATTTCAGAAATGGCAATTTTTGTTATCCAAGCACACACAAAAAATGCTAATGAAATCCCATAGGGGTTCAGCATCGTGCTATTACAGACATTTCATCTGTGCAAGCATTCCAGCTTACCAAACAGAATGATTCCCCTTCCCCATGTGTTGTTCTGGGTTCTACTGTCCACTCAAACCATTTTAGGGTGTGTGTCTGTGAGGTGATAGGAGGGGATCCTTGTTGCACAAGCAGAAACCCTTGCTTAGGGCTTCAACTGACTGAGTTTGCTAGGTGAAGCCCACTCTATACGTTAAAGAAGTTATATAGGATTTTCTTAAAAGAGAAAATCTTTACAGGGGATAAATCTCTGACTTGCTTAATTGAAGCATCTCATGCTGAATAAAGCTTAAATATTGCCCTTATGGGAGTTGGAACTTAACTGGTTAAGTTGTTCCCATGATGCCTCAATTCTGACGTCAGCTTTTGGAAGCTGGGAGGAGCCTGGGAGGAGTTTCTGTTCTGTTCCCCTCTGGTCGTTGAGGGAGAAAGACGTAGCCGGTAATGGCTGAAAGGAGCCCAGGAGATCCCTGGGGGAATGTCGGAATAAAGAGCTGTAAATAGACAAACCGGGCCCTGTGTGTTTGTCTGGAAGCTAAGCTAAGGACGTAAGGCTGTTTTACATCGCTGTGCTTCAACTCTGCTACTGGCGTGACTGGACGAAAGAGCGAAGGAGCAGAGGTGCTCAGAGGAAGTGTGCCGGACCTGCCGGGCTGCTATAAATCGCTAATTGTGGACCAATAAATCAATTAGCGGGGGTCGCGCCAGACCAATAAATCGTGTTCTGCACAGGTTATGGAGGTCAGCCAACGCTCGTAAAACAGTCGTAAAACAGCTTCAGGAAGGCTTTGAAGCTGGGATCTGAGAAACGGAGCTGGCCGGATGTCGGAGGCTGCTTTCAGTGAGTCTCACCTGATGTTTGCCTGCGTCTAAGAGGCAAAGAAGCTGCTGAGAGAGCTGCTGGAACACAGAGCTAAAAGCAAGAAGCAGCTGGGAGCTGAAAAGCAGCTGGAAAATCGTTTCTCCACGGAAGGGAGAGCCAGAGAAGCTTGTGAGTACAGCTTGGGGCCCCTTGGGAGAACGGAAGAGAATGGCAGGCTGCCAGGTCTTGGAGGACTGTGGGAGGCTCACTTTAAGAAGTTGGGCAACCTGGCTGCTGATCTGAAGTCTACTGTTCTGGGTGCCAGGAAGCCAGAGGCCGTTCAGCGCTCCAGGGTGTTTGTGAGGCTGGAGGCGAAAAGCAAGGGCCGGGAGATGGCTGCTTCAGAACAGAAAGACAAGATGGCGCTGATCACCTTCGTGAGAGCCAGTGCACAGCTGGGAAAGGCTGTGGGCCCCAGAGGGGGGCAAAGGGACTATTGGTACTGCTGCCGTTGCTGCCAGGTTTGCAGAGTCTAAAAGGGCTGCTTGGAAACGTGCTGTGTTTGCTGTGAAGCTTCAGCAAAAGGCCAGAGCCCTGGAGAAGGAATACAAAAGCCTAGAGATGGCTGGAGCCCCTGTCCCTGATGCTTTAGCCACAAGGAGTGCTGCTGAGCAGGTCGGGGGGGGCGAAGATTTCCAAAGGCACGTTTAAAGTTTTCCACTGTACGTGCTGGAATCAAGTGGAGGTTCAGAGGGGGCGGAGCTGGCAAGGAGTGCTTTTCCGGAAGAAGGAGAAGGAGGCCAGCTGGGAGGAGCCCCGGAGCAGTGTTTTTCCACTGGAGTTCGTCATTGCTACACGTGTAATGCGGGACGCTTGCGACGCTGCTGCCCATGGAGAGCGGAGACAGCTGGGCAGGAAGGTCCCAAGGACGCCAGCGTGGGAACGCAAGGGAAAGACGTGTCTCAGACACTGGGGAGGGTTGTTTCTTATCACTGCTTCTATGGCAACTGTGAAGAACAACACCAGCCAGGACACGATGACACGCTGGGTGTTTTGGTTTCTGCTATCAGGCAGCACCTGATAGGCAAACTGCGGGACTGCAGGGCTGTGTTCAACAGGAACAATTGGTTTATTCACAGACGGAGCACAAAAAGCAGTCTGTGGTGTGGCTAACGTGTTTTTTCTCTCCTTTACAGGAGGAGCAAGAGGTCTACGTTGTGCCGGGACTGAATAGTTGTCGGTTATCTGTATCTGCTCTAACGAAGCAGAGGTTCCAAAATGTGCTTTGAAAATGACACCTGTTCCATTTTCAGAGGGGGGCGACAACTGGTCAACATGGCGAAGAGCAAGAATAATTTCTTTGTTCTGGAGTCACCTCTGGAGGGTGGTGGGAATGCTGGAAAAAGCACAGGTGCAGTGTGCTAAGGTTCCCAGTGATGTGCAAAAGTTGCACAGGTGCACAAAAGGGTACAAACTCCGGAAATGTGGGAGGTCCCAAGGGTGCAGGGCATGCAAAGGTGCAAAGGTACTTGGTTTTCCCGGGTTTGGGAGGGTAGCCAAGGAAGCTTTTGAGCTTGTTCACACAGATCTGTCAGGACCCATGAGGTCTGAGAGTCTGGGTGGGGCCAGGTATGTGCCATCGCTGACAGATGACCACAGCCAGGTTGGCTGGTGTTTCTCTCTCAAATCACAGGGGGAGGTGACGCAACTGATCAAGGATTGGGTTGCGGAGGTGGAACTAAAGTTCTCCACCAAGGTGCAAGGGTTCACGAGCGACCGAGGGTCACAGTTTACTAGGTCTGCTCTGGAGGAATTTTTCAAGGAAAAGGAAATACGTCACTAGGTGACGGGGTGCAAAGTCTTCTCAAGGGAGAAGGGAGGCTGTTGCTGAGTCCGGTGACGGGGATCAGGTCCAGAATCAGGGTTCAGAACCCGGTGATGGGGACCAAGTCCAGGGTCAGGGTTCAGGGCAGGTTTGGGCATCTCCAAGGGTTGTGAAAGGAGTGTCCAGGTGTGAGGCTTCATCTCCGGTAATGGAGAAAGCTCACGGAAGGGGTGTCAAGTCAGAGGGGGAAGAGTCTGACGGAGAAGACACAACTGCTGGCCCTAATGGGTCAGTAGGGTATCAGGTCACAGGTGCGTGGAAAAGTGTCGCACAGTGTGATTCTGGGAATGCTGAAGGGGTTCAACAGGTGCCTGGGAAAGATGCCGGGAAGGGGCACAAGGCAAAGGGGAAGGTGTTGAACTCAGAAGGTCTTGTCAGAATGTGATGCAGAGGGGGTATGGGAGTTGGAACTTAACTGGTTAAGTTGTTCCCATGATGCCTCAATTCTGACGTCAGCTTTTGGAAGCTGGGAGGAGCCTGGGAGGAGTTTCTGTTCTGTTCCCCTCTGGTCGTTGAGGGAGAAAGACGTAGCCGGTAATGGCTGAAAGGAGCCCAGGAGATCCCTGGGGGAATGTCGGAATAAAGAGCTGTAAATAGACAAACCGGGCCCTGTGTGTTTGTCTGGAAGCTAAGCTAAGGACGTAAGGCTGTTTTACATCGCTGTGCTTCAACTCTGCTACTGGCGTGACTGGACGAAAGAGCGAAGGAGCAGAGGTGCTCAGAGGAAGTGTGCCGGACCTGCCGGGCTGCTATAAATCGCTAATTGTGGACCAATAAATCAATTAGCGGGGGTCGCGCCAGACCAATAAATCGTGTTCTGCACAGCCCTGGGGACGCGGGTGGCGCTGTGGGTAAAACCTCAGTGCCTAGGACTTGCCGATCGTATGGTTGGCGGTTCGAATCCCCACGGCGGGGTGAGCGCCCATCTTTCGGTCCCAGCTCCTGCCCACCTAGCAGTTCGAAAGCACCCCTAAGTGCAAGTAGATAAATAGGTACTGCTTTATAGCGGGAAGGTAAACGGTGTTTCTGTGTGCTGCGCTGGTGCTGGCTCGCCAGAGCAGCTTCGTCGCACTGGCCACGTGACCTGGAAGTGTCTCCGGACAGCGCTGGCCCCCGGCCTCTTAAGTGAGATGGGCGCACAACCCTAGAGTCGGACACGACTGGCCCATACGGGCAGGGGTACCTTTACCTTTACCTTTATTGCCCTGCAAGTGCTTTTACAGTATTCATTCTTTTGGTTTGGGCCAATATTTAGGAATATTGTTCATTCAGTCCTGTTTTCCATAAGCTATAGCTAAGAAGTACGGTTGATAGCAGATAGCTGATGTTTCCATTATTCATAGCCTTTAATATATACCAGATGTGTTATCAGAATGCAGACTGAAAGGAAATCTTTATACAGAAGAAAATTGTTTCTATCCATGTTGTGGCTAGCCATCCATTTAATTAAAAAATAATATGTACCAAACTAATTGCATTTTCCACCCAAAGGAAAATGTTTTTTTTTACTGATATTTGTTAGTTCCATAAATATATTGCTATTGAAAAAAAGTTACAAATATATTACTTCATAAGACAGTTTAATCACTCTGAGTTACTCCACAAATTAAATATAGTGCTAATATAGTTCACTTCTGTGTGGGAAGGTGAGAGTTGTGAGTATAATGAATTATGTTTCCCAGTTCCATTATTAGTAATACATTTCTTCTACAATATTATTTTCAAGTGTAGCTCATGGAACTTATTTTCCTCTCCTGGCACAATAGGTTCTCAGGGAATATCTGTATTCCACAATTAATTGCAGAGTTTACCTGACCTGTGGTAAAATTAGCTGCAGCTCTGATGTTTCTAAATTGGGAGTTTATTAAGATTCTTTCTTGATTGCTATTTTAGCTCTAAAGCTTGAACTTTGTAGGACAGAAAGATGGTTTGTCTTGGATGATGACGACAATTGCTTCTTCTTATACATACCCTCAAGCCATTTTGTCTGGTGATTTATACCAGAGAACAGACATGCTGTTGAAGTTCACTAGACTCAGATCTAGCAGTGATCTGGGCAACACTAATTTACAAGGAGAGGACAGCATTAGAAATTTCTGAATTTTTCTCCAGAATCCAAGTCAGAGAAGACTAACTGGCAGAAGGGCTGCTTACAGAAATAAAACTGATGCTGGCAGGAGTGAGGGAGAGGAAGGTCTCCCACGAGGAGTGCCCAGGGCTCCCTGTGAAGGGACATTTTCCACATTAGTTCTTCAAAACAGCTGGTCTCAGTAAAAGTAGATGTGGAAGAGGCCTTTGGACTTGACTAAGCAGTGCGTGTGGGTCTTGATGGGGGATATTTTCCTGTTTGAATTTAATACACAAGAGTCAGGAAGGCATTCAACGTAGCTTCCTGATGGAGCATAAACTCAGAGGAAGGTTTGCCCAAACAAAGTGACATGAAAACATAATTTTATAATGTGAGTTGGTTTTTCACCATACAGAATAAAATATAAAGTGTGTGCTATTCAGGATGGATTGCATGGAGAACGCAGCCTATGTGGTAACAAAGTCTATGAATTTTTCACCTTTTGTAAAGATGACTTAAGGCTGCAGTCCTAACCCCACTTAACCTAGGAGTAAACCCCATTGATATGAAAGTATTTGCTTCTAAGTATAAACGGGTTGTATTACACTGTAAGACATATGTTCTGTATTAACTAATGTGATTACAATGCATATGACAGTGGGTAGAATAAAAAACTAATCACTCTTTTCATTCTTTTCAGCTGCTTTGATTAGAGGGAATCGTAAAAATTGTGCCCAGTTTTCTGGCTCTCTTGATTGGCTCATTAGTAGATTGGAAAGACTGGAAGCATCTTCTGGTATGTATTTTTTTAAAAAAATCAAAACTAGACAGCCCATAAAAAAACCCCTTGCTTTCACTGTTGTGCAATTCCTTTTTGCATGTTTGAAGCTGCTGTTCTCCAGATCTGCTGCTGTGTCTTTTTAAAAATAAAATGGCAAGCATGTGTTAAGTTCTACTCTTTGGGCAAGTAAAAAACACACATTGTTTTTTAAATCACAGAAGATTCATGTGCAGAAATGATTTTACACAACTTAAACTGGGTTTGCGGCTGTACAGATACATGCATAATCTTGTGAATATGCAAGAGTTCCATTAATTTCAGCTGAGACTATTTAAACCAGGGGCTGCCTGCCCATACCATGCTTCCTTTTCTGTAACCTCCCCTATTGCGCAGAGACCACCCCGTGGTAGCCTCCTGGTTCTCTCCCCACCCCGCTCACCATATTGCAGATACTCAGCCTCCTTTTCACACACACTCAGTTCTGAAGCATCCAGCTCCTCCTATTCTGCAGGTTCCTTTGTACCCGACCTTTCACTTTATCCTATTCCTATGCATCTTTTCTCCCACCTCCTTTATGACAACCCCCTTGCAACAATCTCCACTGAACATGGGCAGGGTGCCTTCCCCTCCCCCTCTGTGATGCCCACCACCCCATGGCTGATCTTCTTAGTACACTCCCTTATCATTCTCTCTTTCTCTTCCACTCCCTTTGGTACACTTCCTCCCACCATCTCTCCATAAGATCTCCTTCAGTACATGCCCATTCGCCTCCTCATCTCTACCTCCCAGTAAGCTGCAGTGATGTGACCAAGCAGAGTTCAGATGAGCAGCAGCACCACCAACAACCACACTTTCCACTGTTGGTTATGTCCCACTGATTCCAATGAGACTTTAAATAGCATTTTCTTGGATGATGCCTATTATTTCTTGAAAAGTACCTAAATTGTTTTTCTACATCTTAGCATACATAGAATAAAATTATAAACTGGCAGCCATTTGAGACTTCTGTATCATTTTTTGTTGTTGTTCTAAATGACAATATCTTGTCACTTTCTACAAATTAGATGCTGATTCCAGTTTGGATTATGAAGCCAAGAACGGTGGAGTCCTCTACAATTTAGTTTTTAAAACTCAACAGAGATAATTGTATATGATTACTTCATTAAAAATGTAATTGGCCTTTGGGCTTTAAGATAAAAATCAAATGAGCAGTTTAGATTTTAATTAAATTAACAGTTTAGATTCTCCCCCACATTATCTTCTCTCAAATTAAAAGAGGAACATTTTGAAAATACTTTAATGATATGTTTGCCCTTAGGGACACTGGGTATAATTTTGGGAAATAATATAGATAAAAAGTGGTCCTTTTATTATAATTCAAAATTATCACACTATTTAATACTTAAATCAGTCAAACCTTTATCTGTAAATAGAATTAGTTTCAGGTAATGAGCTTATCTGCATGATAAGGAAACCACTTATGTCTTTTCTGTATTTTGTTAAGAAGCATTACGCTTCTGGCAACAGGAGGATATACAAAAACTCCTGTTGGTCAACAGCTGATTGCCTCTGATTATATCTCTGCTAAATAGGGAAACTTGCAAGTAGTGCATAAAACGAATGCTTTGTTGTAAAATGTAATTGGTTTGACCACTGTCAGACTTGATGATCTCAAGGATAATTTCAAATTTCTTAGCTGATAATTCTGTGAACTTTCTTATAAACAAAAGGATATCTAATATGGAAAGTTTCCCCACCCCATTTATTTCCTCTTTCTGGTGGGCATGGAAAAGCAGTTGGTCACATGATTTGGAAGAATGGTATAGACTACCCAGTGCATTACATACAACCTGTGATGTTGTATGTTCAGGCTTCGTTTTATCCCATGTTACAGTGCTGACTGTAGCAGCAGCAGTTGGCAGCAATTAACTGTGTGCCACATCCTTGCTACTGCTATATTAAGAGATCTGCTAGACAATTGTGCCTGGACCTAGAGGAACTTGTCTTAATGCAGCATTGCAGGAATCTTATTTAAGTTTAATGATACTTAATGACACTGGCTGCTGCTTCATTTGGCTGGTAATTTTGGTTAATTGAGAGGTCATAGGTGTTTCAGTGCTGCATCCTACTGCTTCCTACATCTTCATTATCTCAATTTTCATCTAATTTAATGTAATTAATATGCTCATTTTATAGGAGCATCTTTCACACACCCCTTGTGATACACAGAAAATGTATGACATTTTCTATTTTTGACATACTATTAATCTTCTCCAAGAATACATCAAATTATAAGTTATAAAACATTCCCTACTGCAGCACTGGGAATTCTATAACTTACTTACACCATTCCTTACATTTACATAGTTTACTTACACTATTAATTTGTGAAATTTAAATTATTTATATGCTGCTTTTCAGCTCTAAAATGGGCTTACATAATAATATACCAAAACAAATTAAAACAAAACAAAACAAAACTAAGAGTACATAATTGTGAGGCACGTTTTTCTGTAAGCTGTATATTAACTACCAGTTAGCCCAGTCCTTTTCTATTACCTCAACAGTGTTAGGCATTTGAAATTTTGTGGTACATTACCCCAAAGAATGAAAGCTTTGTCTGTATTCCTTAATTGCAAAATTGAGGCAAAAGATTATTTAAATTCCTAAAAAAGAAAGGAGATGCAAAACTGAATTATTCCTACCCCTGGTACATAGCATGTTGGCCAAAATTTTAAACTACAGAATTAGGTAGTATAAGAGCTCTTCAGATTTAATCACATATAAGCTATCAGTTATGGGACACAAGTGGTGCTGTGGTGTAAACCACTGAACCTTGGGCTTTCTGTTTGGAAGGTTGGTGGTTCGAATCCCCGTGACGGGGTGAGCTCCCGTTGTTTGGTCCCAGCTCCTGCCAACCTAGCAGTTTGAAAGCATATCAAAGTGCAAGTAGATAAATAGGTACTGCCCTGGTGGGAAGGTAAATGGTATTTTCGTGCACTGCTCTGGTTTCACCAGAAGCGGCTTAGTCAGGCTGGCCACATGACCTGGAAAAACTGTCTGCAGACAAACGTCGGCTCCCTCGGCCAGTAAAGTGAGATGAGCGCCGCAACCCCAGAGTCGTTTGTGACTGGACTTAACTGTCAGGGGTCCTTTACCTTTTTTAAAGCTATCAGTTAATTGTGCAACCAATCTAAAAGAATTAAACAAAACTGTGTTGTGAAAATTGTGTACTTAATTTCATTTCCCTGTTTCTAGTGCCTATCGGCGAGATTTAAGATGAATGAAGTACTTATATTTCACGTTTAAATTTCCATTTGTTACAAGATTGATTACAGATGCCCATTCTTAATTGTGCAGTATTCACATTAATCTTGTTCTTCCAGTTTTACCATTGTCTTAATTCATCCATATGCTATATGGATTCTTATTCCATCCATATAGCCTGTGGGAGGATATATCTTATGTATGATTGTGAGATAAATTAAACAATAAACTGGTCTTTTTTGTATTTATGTTTTTAGGCATTCTTGAGGTTTTGCACTGTGTGTTGGTAGAAAGTCCAGAAGCTTTAAATATTATTAAAGAAGGACATATTAAATCAATTATATGCCTTTTGGACAAACATGGAAGAAACCATAAGGTATGCAATGCAGATTTGGATGGAGAGTCTGTGTGGTGGGTAGCTGGTTTATGAAATATCTCAGTGGGAGGGTTTAAGATAGCAAGGGAGAGTCTTTACTGTTTTACACTTGGTGTTTTTAAACAGTATCATGGGAGCTGAGAACCATCATAATCACCATCTGCATCATTTCTTTCCCAGGTGTTAGATGTTTTGTGCTCTCTCTGTGTGTGCCATGGAGTAGCTGTGCGGTCTAATCAGCATTTGATTTGTGACAATCTTCTGCCAGGGCGAGATCTCCTTCTCCAGACACGTCTTGTCAACCATGTGAGCAGGTAAAAAATTGACTAGAATGTGTGTGCAATCTGTATATAAAACCAAGAACAAATCAAAGTTATTTTTCACATGTAGACAAATATAATGGTTGCATTCATTAAGAGACAATGTCTTTATCTCCCCTTTCTGCTAATATTTCTAAATTAAATGCAGTTGATGTTTTTGCATCTCTTGAAGACATAAACTCTGCTCCCAGTTTTTTTTGTTGATGTTCGATTTCAAAGTATGGTAGTATGTTTGACCTCGATTACTGCTGTATTTTATTGTGCTGTGGATTTTAAAATAGGTTTTAAATTATTTATTTTTTTACTTGTGCATGAGCTTGGAGTGCATCATGAACAGTGTTATAAAGATATCTAATTAAAATATTTTTTATTACTATTAAATTGTATTATTATTCAAAATCCATTATATTAGAATAATTAAAATTTAAAAACTTGAATAGGGTTTTATAGAGGCAGTAGCAAATAGTCTGTATCTGCATTGCTTTTACATGTGAAATATGTTTTTATTTGTTATATTTCTTTGAGATATTTAATAGGATGTAGCCAGTGTGGTGTAGTGGTTAAGAGCGGTAGTCACGTAATCTGGGTAACCGGGTTCGCGTCTCTGCTCCTCCACATGCAGCTGCTGGGTGACCTTGGGCCAGTCACACTTCTCTGAAGTCTCTCAGCCCCACTCACCTCACAGACTGTTTGTTGTGGGGGAGGAAGGGAAAGGAGATTGTTAGCCGCTTTGAGACTCCTGAAGGGGAGTGAAAGGCGGGATATCAAATCCAAACTCTTCTTCTTCTTCTTCTTCTTCTTCTTCTTCATGAATGGAATTGAATAAATAACATGCAAACATGGAGCTACTTGTTGGTTAATTGTTATTTTAATGACTGTTCTTCTTTTGTCGTAATTTGTCTTGGGGTACAGATACAAAGAGCAAAAGGAGGGTTTAATAATGCTTTAAAAAAAACATGAAACTTTTCTGATGCATCTTTCCCCCTTGTATTCAGTATGAGACCCAATATTTTCCTTGGAATCAGCGAGGGCTCTGCTCAGTATAGAAAATGGTATTATGAGCTAATGGTTGACCATGTGGGACCGTTTACGACAGCCGAAGCTACTCACCTTCGTGTGGGCTGGGCTTCAACAGAAGGCTATTCACCATACCCTGTGGGAGGAGAAGAATGGGGAGGAAATGGTGTTGGTGATGACCTATATTCCTATAGTTTTGATGGACTTCATCTGTGGTCAGGTAAGGCTAATTAAATACCTTAGGTTTGTTTTTAAAACACTCAGCAGTTGACTTCTTTATTTCAGCCAATATGTCATCTACTATTCTCCAAGTCGCGTTTGTGGGGGAAGAGCCACGGTTTTTGCAGGGCTGGGAAAGAGATATTCCTGAAACTCTGTAGGGCCACTGCCAGTCACTGAATAGAGAACATTGGTCTAGATGAACCACTGTTCTTTTTCCCCCTTCTTGTTTTTATAATTAATTTTTTATTGGATTTTTCAACATAACAAGAGCAAAAACGTATAAATTGAAGAAAGAAATACTCCAATGTTCTGAGTAGGTTGAAGGCAGCTTCCTGAGATCTAATACTGGTGCTTTTTTGTGTTAATCTGTATTGATTCTTCTTTGGCTTTGTACCAAGTTTTCTGAAAGCAGCTTTTCTTACATGAGGCTGAACTTTTGTTCTAATTATATTTACTCTTATATCCTAGGTTGTGTAGCAAGATCTGTGAATTCTCCCAACCAGCATCTGTTAAGGACTGATGATGTAATCAGCTGCTGCCTTGATCTGAGTGCTCCCAGCATTTCATTCCGGATAAATGGACAGCCAGTCCAGGGGATGTTTGAGAATTTCAATACAGATGGCCTTTTCTTTCCAGTTGTCAGCTTCTCTGCAGGGATAAAGTTAGTACCCCATCCTGTCATTTTCAGTGAATACATTGCATCTTTTCCTTGCTTATTGTCTTATTCATTTAATTTTGAAATTTTGGTTCTGTGCGTAGGACTTATTCTATGGTTAAGCCAGTTGCGCCACAACAGATGTATGATTGGATCTTCTGGTTTTTCTTTTTCTTAACAACTTTTCACAAATTGGATACGTACGGTGACACTATGGGTTTGATTCTTTGGGGTGGTGAATCGCACCACTCAAAACCGGCTATATTTGCACTGCTAGGAAAAGCACATGGTACCTGTGGATGTGGAGCAATTGCTAGCAGGTGATTTAGATCTGGGAAATGGTCTAGGGAAAAGGGTTAAAGCTTTCATCACCATGGCCCAATCAAATTCAACCTCCTGCAACTTTATATTGTGGATCTTCTGAATTGAGGTTCCGAGAGAGAATTCCGAAAAGAGTCCTGAAGATTTAATTCACCTGTATCCATAGTTAGTTGCTTTTTCCTTTATGTAGTCTTTCTGCTCAGTTAAGCTTTGGATTGTTGTGCCTCTTGAGGCACAGGAAAGGTTTTAGGCTCCAGTGTTCATAACACTGTGCAAGTTTAGAAGAGAGAGAGAGTATTTGGAGGAAGGAAACTCCACAGAAGGGATCTTGGAAGGGATCTCTTTATCTTATGGCTTTTATACTTACATGTGCTGCTTTTCCTCAGTGGGAGCTGGAATGGCTGGCCAAAGAAGGGCATAGTAGGTTGAGAGGGGAAGGAAAATGATCTACTCAACCATTCAAAATGGCACTAGGCTGCTTCTGAAAACAAAACTCCATGTCCACTCTATGAGGAAAGTGGCTTCCTGTGAGTGGAGGTGCAGCACTCTGAAAAATCCTTATCCAAGGGATATTTAGTTATATAGTGCTTTTCCTAAGAGCTCAAAGCACATCACATATATTAACTGATACATCTTTACTGAGGCCCACATGGTCAATATTAATAATTCCATCTTACAGATGAGGAACTGAAGCCAAAAGATACCTAACACTATACAATGAGTTCATTCTGTGCTGGTTCTGCCTCATAGACTTTGCTCTTACTCGCTACTACACTAGTCCAGTGATGAAGTGATGATATAATCACTGGTTTTTTCCAGTTCTAATTTTATCCAAAATTGAGTATGCCAAATGAATACACACTTACTTCTGAATAAATATGCATTCTTATTCTTCATTTAAATCACATATAAAATTAATAACCTAAACTAAGGAGTAGTTATTGCTAAATAGACCACAGGTAAGACAGAAAGTGAGATGCGGGTGGTGCTGTGGTGTAAACCACTGAGCCTTGGGCTTGCTGATTGGAAGGTCGGCGGTTTGAATCCCCGTGACGGGGTGAGCTCCCGTTGTTCAGTCCTAGCTCCTGCCAGCCTAGCAGTTTGAAAGCATGTCAAAGTGCAAGTAGATAAATAGGTACTGCTCTGGCAGGAAGGTAAATGGCGTTTCCGTGCACTGCTCTGGTTTCACCAGAAGTGGCTCAGTCATGCTGGCCATATGACCTGGAAAAACTGTATGTGGACAAATGTCAGCTCCCTTGGACAGTAAAGCAAGATGATCGCTGCAACCCCAGAGTTGTTCGTGAGTGGACTTAACTGTCAGGGGTCCTTTACCTTTTTTTAAGACAGAAAGTAGGAGAAGATAATCACAGCCTAGTGTAGATGCAGTCACCTTCAGATAAAACTAATTCACTCTGAAATACAGTGGTACCTCGGGTTACATACGCTTCAGGTTACACATGCTTCAGGTTACAGACTCCGCTAACCCAGAAATAGTGCTTCAGGTTAAAAACTTTGCTTCAGGATAAGAACAGAAATTGTGCTCCGGCGGCAGCGGGAGGCCCCATTAGCTAAAGTGGTGCTTCAGGTTAAGAACAGTTTCAGGTTAAAACGGACCTCTAGAATGAATTAAGTACTTAACCTGAGGTACCAATGTAAATCCCAGATGCAGCGCTTGCAAAGTGTGACTTTGATGGAATAATTTTACTTTAGAATTGAACTAAAGGCATCAGGAATATTTGAATTGTTGTCTTATAGGGTACGTTTTTTGCTTGGAGGCCGCCATGGGGAATTTAAATTCCTTCCACCTCCAGGATATGCTCCTTGTTTTGAAGCTATTCTGCCAAAAGAGAAATTGAAAGTGGAACACAGCAGAGAATACAAACAGGATCGGAATTCCACAAGAGACCTTCTGGGCCCAAATATATCTCTATCCCAAGCAGCTTTCACTCCAGTACCTGTAGATACCAGTCAGGTAAACAGAATCTACATTAACTTTTCAACTATAGGATAAGTATGCTACATAATATTATGTTAATATCAATAAACTTGCAAATACCTTTTGCTTTCATTTTTTGCCTCCTATTTTATTGTTTGGGAGTCTAGATATCAAGTACAAGTACTAAATATTTGTTAATTTGTAAAGGCATTTGTTTTCACAACTTGTTCTATCTAACCAGTCATTTAAAGATAAAAAACTCCTCAAAACATCAGAAACAAAAGCAATCATCATAGCAACAGTAAAAATACAAAAAGCAGTAGATAGTAGTAGTAGTTGATCTGTTTTATATTTGTTTTATGGTTCTCTATTGTAGGCTATCTTGAAAATCTAGATTAATAAAAAAAATTCTAAAAAAGGGAAAAAAACTCCTGTACATTGACAAACTCAAAGTACATTTGTTAGTATGAGCAGGTTGCTTTCATTATGTTTCCAGTTCAGTCATTTACTACTATGTAATTAGTGAAACGTATGTAAACTTTGGACAAGTAGTTTATTTCATTCTGGTAAATTATCTTTTTCTCCCCTCTACTGCACTCTGTGTCATTTTATTCTAACAGATTTGCTCTTTTATCTTTAGATTGTATTACCTCCACATCTGGAAAGAATTAGGGAAAAACTAGCTGAGAATATCCATGAACTTTGGGTTATGAATAAAATTGAACTTGGATGGCAGTATGGTCCTGTACGTGCTTTTCAAATTTTGTTTTCTATTGTTTTTCTTACTGCTTTAAAATATCATTCATAATAAGGTGGAGTAATTATATTGTGCATGTTCAATGTATATGTACATATAATTTAGAATACTTTTCTAATAGCTGGAAATGAAGCAGAAGTTACACTTTCAGAAAACATAGATTTTGCATTAAATTTTCATTGCTGTTGTAATTGTTTTATTATTTGTTATTATATTTTTATTATTTTTTATTATTTGTTTATATACCCCTTACTTGCCAAAATGGTGTGATGGCTCCTGACCTATATCTGCCATAGCAAATTTCACGTTACATGAAATATCTTACAACTCGGCCAACAGTTATAAATACATCCTTCCTATATAGTACAGTACAGTGGTACCTCGGGTTACATACGCTTCAGGTTACAGACTCCGCTAACCCAGAAATAGTACCTCGGGTTAAGAACTTTGCTTCAGGATGAGAACAGAAATTGTGCTCCGGCGGCGCGGCAGCAGCAGCAGGAGGCCCCATTAGCTAAAGTGGTGCTTCAGGGTAAAAACAGTTTCAGGTTAAGAATGGACCTCCGGGACGAATTAAGTACTTAACCCAAGGTACCACGGCACTTAAAACTCACCATCATTGATTTCAATGGGAGAGATTTAAACAACTCTCACACTGAAATCAATAAGAGCTAAAAGTGCCTGACTTTGATTGGATCATTATCTAATATTTCTGACATGGTACAAACTCCTTTTCAGTAATATAGGTCATTTGGACTTACCGTTCTAAGACAGATTTAAGCTCAGTGTTTCCTTTCTTGCAGGTTAGAGATGACAACAAGCGACAGCATCCATGTTTGGTGGAGTTTGCAAAACTGCCAGAACAAGAGCGAAATTATAATCTCCAAATGTCACTAGAAACACTAAAGTAAGTTTGTAGCTTGCTCACTCTAATCATAAGTGTTTTTATGTTTCTTCAAAAAGATTTGGGTGTGTGAACTCTTAAATAGTCTATGAGGTTTGCCTTGTATAATAATAACAAAATGCCCATCTGTTTGGTGGGTGGTGATAAATCAATGTGATTACTTAAATCTTCTGGTAATCTTCTCAAACAGATTTTGGTGATTTCTACATTAATAACTTTGGATACTGCTCTGCTGCTTGGCTCTTTGGCAGGATCTGTAGATGTACCAAATAAATGTTGCTACATTTAAACATGCTTTCTGAATTTCTTCCTTAAGATTAAGGGAAGTGGGACTGATTCAAATAGTCTGCCCCCCCCTTTAATAGATCCAAATGGCTTCTAGAGAGTGGTAGGGGATGTCTTACCCCATGTTGATGGTCTCTCAGCTGATTCCCTGGTGGCCTACTGGAATGCGGAGCTAACCAGGTTCTGATTCCTGAAGAGGTAGACTCCACTGTGGTAGCAGGGCTGGGGCGGGAGAGTGCCGGAGCTCTGTCTAGTCAAGTTGTATAGGATCAGGTTCAACTTGTTATCTCTGAGGATGTGGGCAGGCTGTTTGGACAAGTGAAACCATCTGCCTGTCTCCTTGCCCATACTAGCTCATAAAAGCAAGCCAGGCAGAGCTGGGCAATGGGCTCCGTGGGGTGTGTGTGAATGCTTCTCTCAGTGAGTAATGTATTGTATAAATACAATCCCAAAAAAGTATTTTTGAAGGGAGATACCAAAACCTGGCCCACAGGTTATAGGAATTATTATTTCTGTCTTGCAAACATCTTTCTCCGCAAACCTAGCAGTTGTAGCTTTGCTTTTCAACATGCCAATTTAAGTTCCTATAAGTTATTGATTTTCTCCTCCAGAACACTGCTGGCGCTAGGTTGTCATGTTGGGATTGCTGATGAGCATGCTGAGGAAAAAGTGAAGCAACTAAAACTTCCAAAGAAGTAAGTTTAAATTCAGAAAATAAAATGGAAGATGTGTAGGTGTGTGTAAAGTAGGAGCCTGCCTTCCTGTCCAGGCTCACTTGTGTGTTTATCATATCACTGTACTTCCTTGAGTCAAATTGATAATCATGGGCTCTTGGTTCAGCTGTGTGAGTGGGAAGTCCACCTTCCCCATCACTTAGATAAGGCAATGGCAGCAAGTGAAAGAGAGGTCAAGAAGGTGAAATGGTGGTTATCACCACAGTTCTTGAGCTCCAGCAGAATGAGATTGGGGAAGAACAGACAGAGGAGTGCATGAACAAGCAACCGCATAGGCAACCTCTGCTAGCTTCCTTAGTATCTTCTGAACTGATCGCTTTGTAGCTTCCTCTTGGGCTCAAGGCCGGCAGTAGCAATACCATTTTAATGATGTCTCAGATTTAAGATGCCAACCAAATTGTCCATGGTACTACATGCAGCTTTCTCATCTCAACTGAGCCTGGTCAGCAGTGATGGCCAAACTTGGCCCTCCAGCTGCTTTGGGACTACAACTCCCATCAACCCCAGCTAACAGGACCCGTGGTCAGGGATGATGGGAATTGTAGTCCAAAAACAGCTGGAGGGCCAAGTTTGGCCATCACTGCTGTACAGCATTTGTTGTGCAGGATATGCCAAATACTCCTCCCCCCTGCTTCTGTCCATTCACACTGAGAAAACCCATTTTGCGTTCTTGGGATATGCATGCTATTGCCTCAGTTTGAGGAAGAAATCACACCCCTCATCAGCAACTGACTGAGAAACAACTTTCTCCATTTGCTTTTCCTACTATTATTTCCCTTTCATAGACCTGTCAGAATACTATGGCTGCTGTTGCTCCACATTAGTTACTGGTTTGCTCTGTTACAATGGGATGAAGATCTATACCTTCATGTGTTCCTATATTTGATCACTACTTCCTGGTTCTTTGTTTAAGAAAGTATATAGTTAATGCCTGACAATATTAAAATGTTTAAGACAGTCTTAAGAAGTGTGCTAATGACAATGGTGGCTTTCAAAGAGATGAATAAAACACTTTCCTCAAAATGTTTAAATATTCTTTCAGGAAAAACTGTGAGGGGAAAAAATCAGACTCCTTTTTCATGCTGAAAATGCTTGCCCCAAACATTCAGCATAACCATAAACAAAGAGTGCAATCAACTTTTATTATTTGGTCACCTTGTTTTGCTGTGTTTTGCTGTTCTAAAATGTTGAGAGACATGCATATAAAAGTGATCTCACTGAAGTATTTTACTCTCATCTAACAGTTATCTATTGTCTAGTGGATACAAGCCTGCTCCTATGGATCTGAGTTGTATCAAACTGACCCCTTCTCAGGAAGCTATGGTTGATAAACTTGCAGAGAATGCTCACAATGTATGGGCAAGGGATCGTATCAGGCAGGGTTGGACATATGGAATTCAGCAGGTAAGTCCCTGGTGGATGCTTGAAAATTCACTGATAACTGCAGATATTGTGGAACTTTCAGTTTCATGATATTTCATGATATTTTGAGGGTGGGTGGTAAAGCAGATGAATATGACTACTGGAGTTCGGGATTTGATTTGGGTAGGTGTGGTGGGTTCCTTGGAGACAAGTAAGGATAGTTTCTAGGTGCTTAGATAACTACTTAAAGAAGGAAAAACTTGTTTTAATATGCCATCTAGAACAAATTGATTCATTTGGAATTCCGTGTATAAGAAATGCTTTTATTTGTGACTGGGAATCAGACATGTTACCTGAAGATTTAAGTGGCAGTGATCAGGGTATTAAAGTTTTGTTTATGTTTCCTTTAAGCCTGAAATACAGTCACTTGATTCATTTGACTTACAGCTTTTAAATTTGAATGAGTTATTCAACTACATGTGACGCAGGTAGACCAGTATCTGTACCCATCATGTCTGAAGCTGGGGATATGATTTAAAGCCTCAAAGAAGCATTGGGAAGGAGCCCTACCAACTCATTACACTTCTCTGAATCCCACAGCCCATCCCCTGAAGTCTTTTTTCCTACAGTAATATTCAGATTATGGATGCAAACCTGCTAAGGAAAAAGGCCCCCAAGTGAAATCATGCCACTTTCTGCTTTTTAACTGAAAATTGAACATAGAAGATTGCTGCATTGAGGTCTGTTGACAACTTGACAATAAGCTACAGCACATAAATACAATTTAAAACCAGAGAAAATTTCTATTAGAAATTGACATTGTTCTTAAAAAAATATTGGCCTGAGGACCAGATGGCTTCACTTCCAAGTATTATAAACAATTTAAAGAAACATGGTTACCATATATGGTCCGCCTGTTTAATGACCTAATGAGAGGATCACCCATCCCCCAAACATGGTACAACTCCAAGATTGTAGCTATCTCAAAAACATTTAAAGATCACTAAAAAGTACATTCTTTTCAGCCAACCTCTGATTAATCAGGATCGTAAAACATTCACAGAACTCAGACCTTCAAGACAACAATCCAGATTTACACAATTAAGAATTAATGAACCATTTATATCAAGTGGCAGATGCAACGTAAACGAGACATTGGAAAGACCTTTCTGGCACAACACTAGATAATTGGTACAAAACAGTTTGGGAAACAGCCCTACTTGAAAGGTTGACTAATAAACTATGGTTGACTTGTGGACAGATTAAAAAAATGGCTTTACTGAAATGTGGTTTAATCTCATAGCATATGTCAGTAATTCAAAAAAGGAACAATTCTCCCTCCCCCATCAGCAATTGGCTGAATCTGGTTGATGTAAATTTAAATTTAAACATACATTGTTTTCACTTTCAATGCACGTTCATCAATATGCCAACACTTCATATTGCTTCACTGAGCAAAAATGACCATTACTCAATATTTAATCTAAGCAAAACCACAAGGGTTCCTGATTAGGTGATTAGCTCTGCAGTGCTGAATGTTATCTGTTAGTTCTGTTCTATCCTGTTTCCCCTCTGTTTTTGTTTAAACTAATTCACAAACCAAGAGCTTACACATTGACCACTAATAATGAAACTTACGTTACAGATATTATTGCAAATTTATTGTGTTATTTTTGTGACATACAGACGACATGAGAAGGCCTGGTCTATTTATTTGTATTATTTATTATACTATGATGCTTGTTTATAAAACCCAATATAAAGCTATTAAAAAAACCCTAGAGAAAATTTAAAACACTAACAATGCAATATACATAAAATGCCCAGTTCCCAACTGATTAATATGGGGGAGAAGTGGTCTTTATGGACCAGAAGAGTTTGGATTTGATATCCCGCTTTATCGCTACCCGAAGGAGTCTCAAAGCGGCTAACATTCTCCTTTCCCTTCCTCCCCCACAACAAACACTCTGTGAGATGAGTGGGGCTGAGAGACTTCAAAGAAGTGTGACTAGCCCAAGGTCACCCAGAAGCTGCAGGTGGAGGAGCGGAAACGTGAACCCGGTTCACCAGATTAGGAGTCTACTGCTCTTAACCACTACACCATACCAGGTCTATAATATCTCAAAGACAACTCTCCATATGAACTCACTCCAAATCTCTGGATTGCTTTGATCAGCAGCTTCATGTAGATGTTAAACAGCATGGGGGATAAGATCAACCCAATTGAAGACAGTTGAGCAGTATACCCCAAGTACCACTCTCTGGGGTGGCCATCCAAGTAAGCCTGGAATCATCGCAACACAGTGCCACCCAGTCCAAATTCAGACAGCTGCTCTAGAAGAGCACCTTGCTTCATGGCATTGAAAGCTGCTGAGAGATCAAGGCAAATCAACAGGGACACACACACATACCATTTCCCCCAATAGAGATATTTGTGCAACACAACCAAGGCAGTTTCTGTGCCAAAACCAGGCCTAAACACCAATCGAAATGGTTCTATTAAATCATTCTTGTCCAAGGTAGTCTGGAGCTGGATGGTGACCACTTGCTCAAGAACCTTTCCTTGGAAGGAGATATTTACAACTGGGTGATAGTTATTAAGATCTTCTGGGTCCCAGGATGATTTCTTAACCTTACCATTCCATTGAGTTGGGACCCCAGTCTCTAAGGAATGGCATCAGGGTGAGGTGTGTGCATGTGCATTCTATGGGGGGGGAGTAAAGTATAGTAAATTATTATTGAAGTAAATATAATTTTCCTTACAAAATCTGTTGCAAATGTGATCATTGAGCTATGAATGAACCATTCCCCTGTAAATTAAGCCCTTCATTCTTCTCTCTCTGCACAAGTCAGTTAAACCACAAAGCCTCTAATTAACCAAACCCATGAAACTATGGTTACTACTTCTGGAACAAACTAGTATTTAAATCCAATTTCAAGCCATAGTTTAATATCCTGATATGTTTGAAAGCTGTAACCATAGTTTCCTTGTTTAGGCAAAACAGGAAGCTATTCTTAATTGAAGACTTCCTGGTTTGTTTGTTCGCAGCGTGAAGAAAGGAACAAAGAGGCTGCATACATAGGCAAAAGTATTGTTTATGTATTGAATGTGGTAAATTGAGATTTAACATCCAAACATTGTCATTGTATCAAGCTACTATACTCAATATACTAAAAAATAAGCATCTTCAGTGCTGCCAAAAAGTACAGTAGCATTTCACAGTTGGAAAACTGAGTTCTAATGAATACAACCTTTGTAACTAAATTACCACTATGTTATAGAAAAGTAATATTCAAAATGTAACAGGCTTTTTGCTGTAACATAATCATAGCTCATCATCATCATTATTTATTTCTAACTGGGATGTAGAAGTTTCTTTTGTTTTTGTTTGTTTTTTGCACTGACACAATCATCAGCTTTTTATTTGAGATCCATGTCTTGTGTTAAAAGAAGAGTATGTTTTCCCTTTATGGTGTGATGACAACTGCAACAACACAAATTCACATGCATATTCTCATTTGTAGGAACAATATATTTATAACAGTGAATTACATCCTTCTATCATATTTAAGTTGAGGCTATGTATTTCTAGGTTACTTACTGTTCATCAATTACCTGTAATAAACCTAAGTCACTAGAAATTCTGCATACCCAACTGATGTTAATGCAGATTGATTTTTGAAAGTCCCCTTACCTTATTCAGTGGGCAGTGTTGCAGCCAGGCCCCGCAGTGACCCAGCCAAGGGGTTACAGAGTGAGGTTTCAGGGAACCAAACAGAGGGCCTTCTCAGTAGTGGCGCCCACCCTGTGGAACGCCCTCCTATCAGATGTCAAGGAAATAAACAACTATCTGACTTTTAGAAGACATGTGAAGGAAACCCTGATTAGGGACTTTTTAAATGTTTTATCATGTTTTTAATATTCTGTTGGGAGCCGCCCTGAGTGGCTGGGGAAACCCAGCCAGATGGGCGGGGTATAAATAATATATTACAGTCGTACCTTGGATCTCGAACGCTTTGGCTCCCGAACAAATCGGCTCCCGAACTATCGAAAGCTGGAAGTGAGTGTCCCGGTTTTCGAACATTCTTTCGGAAGCCGAACATCCGATGGGGCTTCCACGGCTTCTGATCGGCTGCAGAAGCTTCCTGCAGCCAATCAGGAGCCGTGCTTTGGTTTCTGAACGTTTTGGAAGTCGAACAGACTTGCGGAATGGATTCCGTTTGACTTCCAAGGTATGACTGTATTATTATTAATTCTTGTTATTATTGTTGCCTATTTAAACCCATAAAACAAAACCCGCTTGTTCCTGTGCTTTATTTATCCACAAGGTGACCGTGAGTCATGGGGCCTTGGCACGCAAGTTTTCAATGAAGTGACTGGGTGCGTCTTTTGAAGTAAACCAAGATGCACTACTTTATCTTCCAGAGTCATTAGTTACCGCATATAAACTAGCTGCTAGAGCTGACTGGCTCCAGATTGTGTATTCAGCTTTAAGCATGTTGTAGGAAATTTGCAAATACATTTTGCTTACAGCCAGGAAGTTACTTTAAGCCTGTGGTCTTCTGCCTACCTTTTATCTGAAAGTCAGAGCTTCAGCAGCTTTTGTACACGCACACACACACACACACAAAATATCCTTTGACATTATTGAATGTTGGAGATGCTGCTTAAATAAAATCAACTATATGATACAAACACCTTTCCTTCTGTTGGTCTGAGAGCTTTCTCTTTTGCCACAACTCTATGCTTTCCTGAATTCCCTGTATTATTGTTGGCACCACTCCATTGTATTTCTGTTTCTGTGTTATTGCTGACTATTTTCACACAATAAACATTTCCACCAATAAAAGTTTCAACACAGTATGTGGTTGTATACCACAGCGAGGATTTCATGTAGTAATGATGGAAATAAGTTGGCATTCCACATCATTCTTTCCAGAGCAGGAATGTCCACCATTTGTAGAAATGTCCAGAGTTCTTATTCACACCACATTATTGATGGAAATTTGGGAACTGATGAGCTCTAGAGTCAAGTTTTCTT